TTGCAGTCACGTTTTGATATCTTGAAGATTCACTCGAGGAAAATGAATCTGATGCGTGGAATTGATCTGAAAAAGATTGCAGAGAAGATGAATGGTGCTTCAGGTGCTGAGCTGAAGGTAAAGTCTTATTGTTACTCTGCTTCTCTCTTGGTCTCTCTCTCTCTCTACAATTGGTCTGTGTCTTATGTTTTTTGGTTATTGCGGTCAGGCTGTGTGCACAGAGGCGGGCATGTTTGCGCTGAGGGAGAGGAGAGTACACGTGACACAGGAAGACTTTGAGATGGCGGTAGCAAAGGTCATGAAGAAAGACACAGAGAAGAACATGTCTCTGCGTAAGCTCTGGAAGTAGGAAACTCTTTGTTGTGTGTACCCAAGGGAGAGCCACAGATTTATTTCAGACCTGAGAAATTAGGGGTTCTTAACTGTCTATGGTTCTTTCTAAAATCTTTTCAGTTTGTTCTTTAAGCATTTGAAAACAAAGTTTGTACTGCCTTAACACTAGTTTTGTATTCAGTCGGTTCTTTAAGCATTTGAAAACAAAGTTTGTACTGCCTTAACACTAGTTTTGTATTCAGTCGGTCTTAAGCATAACATTTTCGATTTAAACAACCAAGCATTTACATTTTATAATTTGTTCCCCAACCCAGTCAATATATCCTATATAGAGTCGATACAAGGAAACAGTGGTACGGAGAACTATAATGATCGAGACGATGGTAATGAGGCAAATGGGACCATTGAGACATAGTCACTTGAAAGGAGAAGTATGAAATAAACTCAATAATTAAAACTTAAAGAATGAAATGATCGAGTTCGAGAAGACGGACAATTGGTGAGAATGAAATATTTTTTTGGTATTTCTCAACGTACATAAAAGAGCGGGAGAGGTTAAATGATCATTTTAGCAGGTATAGTTTGTAATGTTCGTCGTCATGATATCATGTAGCCGCTGCATCTCCAACATGATTTTCAAAACTGTTTGACAAAAGCAATAACTTAAATGATAATTGATGAAGTGAAGACTGTGTAGAACTGCTTAGAACAACTAACGAATAACGATCGCCTAAAATCGTCCAAATCACCCAAAAAAACTAGGATGTAGTTATATAACTCTTATGAGATCAATCACTGTCTTTTTGTAACATTAATGGTTTACTTGTTTGAGAGTCTAAAATGTAAAATAGCCTTTTTTTTTATGTGTGAGCTAAATAAAAGTTTATATAATTAATTAATTATTATTGATTATTAAGAAAATTAATACGGAATAGTACTGTATTTTCGATTTTTCGTAGTTTTCCTAAATTAAAATGATAATTTCGCCGACAAAAAAAAAGAAGAAATAAATAAATAAACTGAACAAGAGAGAAAGATGTCTTGTTGGATAATTCAAGTTTCTTATTAATATTGCTAAAGCTCTCGTCGTCTCTGCGATCCATCTCCGATAATACTAGAGATCTCTATCTCCGATAATTTGAGCAATCACCGAATAGATGGCGGCCGTAGGAGTGGAGGCGATGCATCCCGAGACGCCGATGGAGGAAACCTGCAACGTCAAGGGGTCGGTGGCGAAACAAGGGGAAGGGCTTAAGCAGTACTATCTCCAGCACATCCACGAGGGCCAGCGACAGCTCCGGCAGAAGACTAACAATCTCAATCGCCTTGAAGCTCAGAGAAACGAACTCAATTCTAGAGGTCTTTGCTTTTTTCCTTCTTTTACTCTAATTTCTTCCTAATTCCATTGAACTCCGGATAGATTTCTCTGTCGAATTGGATCATGTTCTTGGGTTTAGTAATCTCGGTTTTCGTGTAAGGGCTTTCGATTCGTTCTCATTTGATTTGGGTTCTTCTAAATTTCTAAATTATTGGAATTGAGGTTTCCCGATCTGGAAGTGATGGGATCTTCTCTGTTTAGATTTATTGATTAAGTTTGATACCTATCGGTGTGTCTTCTAGTTGATTATTTAGAAAAGTATATATAGTGACTGTGATGAGGGTGAGAGGATTCTATAGTGCTAGGAGTATAATTAGATTGATCCATCGTTTAAGCTGAATCTGTCGTCTTATCATCAGTTTTTATGCCTGAGGGTTTTCTTATTAGTCTATATAAACAGTAGTTAATTTTCAACTTCAAACCTCTTCTGACACTATAATTTTTTGTTTTCTGAACAAAACAGTACGAATGCTCAGAGAAGAGTTGCAGCTGCTTCAGGAACCTGGTTCCTATGTGGGTGAAGTGGTAAAAGTGATGGGGAAAAACAAGGTCCTGGTTAAGGTATGAATCTTTATATCAGATTGTTTTGGATTAACATGACCACTCCTGTCAATAAGGCTTCACCTCCCATTTTTTTCAGGTTCATCCAGAGGGAAAATATGTTGTTGATATTGACAAAAGTATAGACATAACGAAAATCACACCATCGACAAGAGTTGCTCTCCGTAATGATAGCTATGTTCTCCACCTGGTCTTGCCAAGTAAAGTAGATCCTCTGGTTAACCTTATGAAAGTTGAGAAGGTTCCAGACTCAACATATGACATGATCGGTGGTCTTGACCAGCAAATTAAGGAAATAAAAGAGGTATCCCTAGTGAACGAAAAAACGAAGTTATATTCATTGGGTTTTTAGCTATTCCCCTCTGTTGTTTCATGCATTTGATTTTTCTTTATGTGTTAATCAGGTCATTGAGCTGCCTATCAAGCATCCTGAATTGTTCGAGTCTCTTGGAATTGCGCAGCCAAAGGTACACATGCATTTCAAACCTCTTTCTTTATAGTGTAACAATGTTATGTGGATTAGAAATTATATCATCTTATTCTTTTTGTAGGGTGTGTTGTTATATGGTCCACCTGGAACTGGGAAGACACTTTTGGCTCGGGCTGTGGCACATCACACTGACTGTACGTTCATCAGAGTTTCTGGTTCCGAGCTGGTCCAGAAATACATTGGAGAAGGTTCTAGAATGGTCAGAGAACTTTTTGTGATGGCGAGGTTTGTATATGCTAAGCCCTATTTTGAAATTTTTAGGGATGGTAAATGGTGGTGGGTAGTAAAAGATGGAATTGATGACAAGATATATCATTTTACTTGTCTGCGCTTAGTATCTGAAGTGGACATGTGGTGTTAAATAGATTGAGGAAACTGATCTGTCTTGCTACTAGGATTATGTTTTCATGGTGTAGACAATCTCAAGGATGAATATATTCTGTAGATTAGCACGTTTACAAATATTCTGTCATGGTTACAAAATCGTCTTTAAGGAGCAAAGTACACACAGATGATATAATTGTGTTGAAAAATACTATTGTCTGTTGGCTTACCTTGGTTTATGGTTTTCAGGGAGCATGCACCATCAATCATCTTCATGGATGAAATCGATAGTATCGGGTCTGCTCGTATGGAATCTGGAAGTGGCAATGGTGACAGCGAGGTGCAACGAACTATGCTAGAGCTTCTAAATCAACTTGACGGATTCGAAGCGTCAAACAAAATCAAGGTACGTTTTATGCTGTAAAGAAATAAAACATGAAGCTGTATAGGATGAGTCTATGGTGACGAAGTCTGAATTCGGAGATAAACTCATTTATCCTCTCAAATGACTGTTGCAGGTTTTGATGGCGACAAATCGTATTGATATCCTTGATCAAGCTCTTCTCAGGCCGGGAAGGATTGATAGGAAAATCGAATTCCCTAATCCTAATGAAGATGTAATGCGTGTGCTTATTTTTCATTATTAAGGAATAACTTGAGTCGATAGGTAGTAGAACATGTTTGGCTGATGTATATTTGTAAAATTTGTTGCAGTCACGTTTTGATATCTTGAAGATTCACTCGAGGAAGATGAATCTGATGCGTGGAATCGATCTGAAAAAGATTGCAGAGAAGATGAATGGTGCTTCAGGTGCTGAGCTGAAGGTAAATTGTTTTTGTTCCCTCGCTTCTTTCTCTCTCTCTCTCTCTCTCTCTCTCTCTACGATTTGTGTGTGTCTTATGTTTTTTGGTTATTGTGGTCAGGCTGTGTGCACAGAGGCGGGCATGTTTGCACTGAGGGAGAGGAGAGTACACGTGACACAGGAAGACTTTGAGATGGCAGTAGCGAAGGTTATGAAGAAAGACACAGAGAAGAACATGTCTCTGCGTAAGCTCTGGAAGTAGGAATCTCTTTGTTGTGTGTACTCTAGGGAGAGCCACAGATTCATTTCAGACCCGAGGAATCAGGGTTTTTTTTTACTGTCGCTGGCTCTTTCTGAAACCTTTTCGGTTTGTTTGAAAAGAAATTTGACTGCCTAAACAATAGTTTATATTCAAATGGTCTTAAGCATAACAGTTTCGATTTTATCGTCGTCATATCTGTGATATTATTCAAGAAAGAAAAGGTTCGATGAGAGGGGAAGTACAAATTCATCAGGGTATAACTTAATAGTTTGGATATTAGAAAGTATACACATTTACGTTTACGAAACGACGTTCTCAAACTTGTTAAATGGTAGCCAAAACAGTCGCCAGTGCATGGAAACTGAGCTTCATCACCATGTCACCGTAATCATCTCCGTCAACACACACTTATATACTTTCTTCAACTTTATCATTATGTTTTATGACAAGGTGGTGAAAAGATTTATCCATCATGCCACGCAGAGCCTCAATATGTGACATCACTGGACAGAGTATATGCTAAAATAATAATAGCGTATTAATTTGTGAAATTATATCTTGGTATTGATATTTTACATTAATTTTTAATTTCCACCCATCACATGTGTCTGTACTCAAAAAAGTATCCGTTATGAAACAACACACATTTTTATTTTTTGTTCCTTACAAGACAATAAACAATAAATCTACTGAAATTTTCTAACAAATAATTATGTTCAAATACGATATAGGAAATAAATAACCAAATATTTATTTTTGTCCAGATATGCGTATAATAAGGAATTTAAATTTCGAAATTGCTAATGGAATAAATACAAATTTGAAAAGGGGAGAGAGAAAATTATGAGGCAGGGAGACCGCGTGGAACTAAAGCTAAATAGGATCCAACGGTGGAGAAAGCTGCGTTAAAACTGCAGAACCATCAAAAAGGAAGGCATCTAACGGTGATAAGAGTAGCGTCAGACCTAAGCGTAAACCCTTCCAAATTTCTCTTTTAAAAACCCATCTCTCCCCACAAATCTCCCTCTCGCCGCTTCTCTTCTTACACCTCCACGCTCAAATCGCTCTCTCTCCTCTCGTGATTCCGAAACTATGGTACAAATTCTCTTCGATTCTGCTGGTTTCTTCTTCGTCTACGATTAGATTTCGATTATTGATCTAGGGCTTTTTCACTGTCCCAGATCCGTTCACCTCTTTGTTTCTGCGTTTTCTTCTTTTAATTTCATTGTGTTTATCGTGTTTCAGGCTCTACCTAACCAGCAAACCGTTGATTACCCTAGCTTCAAGCTCGTCATTGTCGGTGATGGAGGCACAGGTACTCTTCTCTAAATTCTTTTTTTTCTCTGTAGTTTGATCTTCTTCTCGGATAATATTTCCTGTTGAGAGACGCAATTGAGATTTTTGATGATGCACTGAGCTGGTTGTTCCATTGTTAAACTACTGGTGTTCCGTTAATATCAATGCTAGGTTACGTTAATGTTGATTTTGTGATCGATATGAGCTCGTATATGTAATATCTCTGACTTGCGAATAGATTCTTATATGATTCTCACTGTTGATTTGTGATTCAATTTGTGTTGTAAGTTGGTTTCAGAAAGCCATGATTATTTTTTTGCTAAGCTCCAGGTTTCTCTTTGTGGTTGTGCAGGTAAAACGACCTTTGTCAAACGACATCTTACTGGAGAGTTTGAGAAGAAGTATGAACGTAAGTATAACAAAAGATTGTTCGTGAATCCGCATTGTTACGATTCTTCATGTCTTCAGCTGATTTTCTGATGTTGATTCCTGATTTCGTGTGTTGCAGCTACTATTGGTGTGGAGGTTCATCCTTTGGATTTCTTCACAAACTGTGGCAAGATCCGTTTCTATTGCTGGGATACTGCTGGACAAGAGAAATTTGGTGGCCTAAGGGATGGATACTAGTAAGTGAACAGTTTACTCTTTCTCTTTTAAGATGATCTGTTTTGTATAGTAGTTGAAGTAATCTCCTAAGATCACTTTAATTTAAGGTTAATCCTAGAGTATGCATAGTTTTGATTAGCTCTGTTTAGGATGTGAAGTTGGAAATTGATTTGTTACCTGAACTTGAAAGTACTCTTATGATAACTGTTGATTTGGGTTTTCTGTTTGGATATAACCTTTGATTTTTTCTTTTTCCTTGCAGCATCCATGGTCAATGTGCGGTAATCATGTTTGACGTTACAGCGAGGCTCACGTACAAGAACGTTCCGACATGGCACCGTGATCTCTGCAGGGTGTGTGAGAACATTCCGATTGTGCTATGTGGGAACAAAGTCGATGTGAAGAACAGGCAAGTGAAGGCGAAGCAGGTGACGTTCCACAGGAAGAAGAACCTTCAGTACTACGAGATATCAGCAAAGAGCAACTACAACTTTGAGAAGCCCTTCTTGTACCTTGCTAGGAAACTGGCCGGTGACGCAAACCTTCACTTCGTCGAGTCTCCAGCTCTTGCTCCACCTGAGGTTCACATCGACATGGTTGAGCAGCAGAAGAACGAGGCTGCTCTCATTAACGCTGCATCTCAGCCTCTCCCCGATGATGATGATGACGTATTCGAGTAAAAACAAAATCCTCCGAAATGTCTGCGTGATGGAAGCTGTTGCTTTTTTTTTTCTCTTTCGTTTTTTGGATTCTCCTATGTTGCTTTTGATGTTACATATTAAATGAATCGGTCTTTTAGAACGAAATTGTTTGGGAAATATTGGGATTGTTCCTTTTGGGAATAGAGCGAGTTGTTTTTGAACCCCAAGAGAATTTGCAATTCTAGTCTTTTTCTTCCCTGCCCAAAGAATATTCTGTGATTGCATTATCGTTGACTATAAAACTTGATTCTACCCTGCTGAGACTTTGTCTTTGCTAGTTTATGGATTACTGATGATACTCGGACCATTAAAGTTAAATTAAAAAGTATATTAGCACTTGAAATTGTTAGTTTAGTCATTAGTGTGAGAAAGATGAAAGATGAAATTAGAAGCTTGTGTTGTCTCTTATAGGCAGGCCTTCTTATTATTCGAATCGTTTATATATTTTTGCAAGTCTTCTTCCTCAAGTCCAATACATAGAAAAAAAACATGTTCAAATTTACATTTACAAGCTCGGAACAAAAAGAAAAGAAAAAGCAACTATCTGGTTGAAACATAGATTAACATTTGTACAACCTACCCTCTCAGTTTTTATTCTATGTAACACAAATTGTAGTTGACAAAGATGCTGCCTGCTATCTGTATGTTGTGCTGTTATCATCAGAGATGAGGTTTCTTATCTGCATCAGATGTTCCTCATTTGTAATGTTCAGTCTCAGACGGAGATTTGTGATCCACGTTTCTTGTTCCCATGTTATGATTGGCCCCGATGCGTGCAGTTTCTCGATACTGCAACGGTATGCATCCAACTCTAACCTGTGAACATCGGCAGCCTCTGAGCCTCTTCTTGGAACTCCCAACATCTTGATCTTGATGCTTCCGTAGCCACAAGAAGATGACTCTGTGTCACTGGAGTTACCCGTTTCTATGGGACTGGAAGAAACAGCACCGAGACCATCCATATCCATGCTACAACTACCAACAGAAGAAGCAACACTCTCTCTATCTTCTTCTTCTTCTTCTTCTTTTTCCTTTTTTCCTTTGTGAAACTTTGGCGGAGAAACAGCTAAAGCTCTACCTAATCTGCCATTCTTTTTTCCTTCTGTAGTTTGATTGTCTGGTTCAACCAAAGAGTAGGTCCGTTTCTTTGGACCTTTTGGCGAGAGTACATCAGACTCATCAAGCTTGTGCTTGCTCTTAAAAGAAAAAAACTCGCCTTTCGGATTCATCTCTCTCCTTGAAGTCTGTCCGCTTAGCCTCGATGTACCCTTCAAGCCACAATGGTATAAACAAAATGTCAGCTCTAAAAAAAGCCCTCGAATGTGATATATACATATATATATTGACAGAGGGAAGAAACAAGTACCTGTCCTCCGATCATGATCCACTCGTTATCTTGCCAAGACTGTCTAATCCGAATATCGGATTTGTTTGCCCTGATCTTCAGTGAGGAACCAAGCAACCTGATCAAGAAACGATCTCTCTCCAAAACCTTGGAAACGATTGCAATCTTCCACGAACGACTTTCGAAAACCTCAAGAATGTCACCAGGAGACCAAGAATGCAGAACCTGTAAAGGAGGAGGCTCAGGCCTCATACTCTTCCTCGGTACCCTCTCCGTAGCTTCATCACTATCGTACATTACAGTGTAATAATGCCCATTCCCTGATAGTATCTCTGCAGATCGCCAAGCACCAGATGGAACCGATGATTTGCTCAACACTTCCACTTTAGCTCCCTTGTTGAATCTCATGATTTAGACTGCTTCACAAAGAGGGAAGTGAATATATCAGAATCTGACATCACATACCGCTAAAAAAACGAAAATCAACTTCTTATCCATAAACATTCCTTGAGTTGAAACCACAAAACAAGATCAAGCAAACACCCAATTCAATCACAAAGTTTTTATTGATGATCCCTGAGTCCTGAACAAGCGCAAATATATCCAAATATCCAGAAAATAAGTTGGACCAATAGATCCATTAGGATCTATCACACCCAGAAACTTCAACTTCAATCAATTGGTAATAATATTTGAGATTCTTTTTCTTCATAATCACTAGATTGCAGAAAAGTCCTCAATTGCAAACCAGAAATTAAACTGTATTGTGACATACAATGGATTCAGACTTTAATTAAACTGGAAATAGAACACGACTCAATCTCTAGATCAATCTTCATTACTGAGAAATTGATTAGTGGAAGAGAATCACTAGATAAAATCTTCAAAATTTGCATCGTTAAGCGGAATATCAAGAGACTAAAAACTCAAAAATTTCAAAAAAAAAAAAGAAAAAAAAAAAAACAAATGGGATTGTGACTACCTTACAACGAAGTTTGGTCAGTGAATGTTTAGCAAGCAAAGAAAGCCATGATTCTGATGCCACAAACAACAAAGCTTCACTTTTATTCTTACCTCTTTGATTTTCTGGGCAACTAAACAAGGATCAATGGGGGCAGAAAAAAAAAAGAAATTAGAATTTATATATGCAAATAATTAGAAAAAGGAAAAGAAGAAAAGATAAAATTATATATTACACATCAGCAAGCCAAAATTATATTAGTCTGTTTAATTTTAAATGAAAAAGATTTTTGAATATAGTTCAAGACTTCAAGTTGGCATAAAGGCATTTATCCACAAGCCGCATGAGAAATGGTCTATTGTTTTTGGGTGCAATTGTGAATATTGTTTCATTTTATTTGATATATTATTTATGAATAAATGGGTGAAAAATAATACAATTTGATAAGTGACAATTGATTTTGTGTTTTGTTAAAAGATACGTTCCCAAAATGACATTGTTTCTTAATGTATCTTAAATCGTAAGTTGACCATATCGAAGCGTTTTATTTCAAAATTTCTTAAAAGAGTGAAACATGCTTTGGCAAGAGAATAAACTTAGGCTCTAATTGTAATTGATTTGGATTTTTAAACAGAGATTTATCACTATTCACTCAAGTAGGGAAAGATTGTTGTTATATATTATGAGGGGTTTGAAAAAGATTCAAAGTGTATCACTTCACTTCTACGGGGCGTTCAAGTTTGTGTGTAAGAAAAGAATGAGAGTAAAAGTAAAGAAATATAATGTGTTATAAGTTATAACATAAGTTAAAGTAGATGTGACTAAGAAGATTAATTCTCTAACAAAATTTTAGAAAAAATTCCACGTCTCTAGGTGATTTAGTATTTACGAAAATGTTTTCAGGAGGATAATCACAAAAACAAAAAAAAGGATCCACGAAGATATTTAGAAGATATGTAAATAAACACTTGTTTACGGTGAAACTTTCTCCTAACGTAATTAAGAAATTTGATAGAACTTGGATCATAAGTAAAAGAGAAGGAGTCTTTGCTAGGGCTAATAAATCAAATACGGATTTAAGAGCAAATAACAAAGTTTTACAGTGTATGTTTTGAAGATTAAGCATGTTGTTGAACTTCAGTGAACATCATAACCGACATCTCAAATACTAAACACGCTTGTGCACTTATATGATTAGACAAATTCTATTGCGCGTTACTGCGTTAGTTCGTTTCTGTTCTTCTGCCCCATCACGCAATAAGTATAGAAATGTATTCTGTTAATCATTAACAAATGATCAATAATCAAACGTTAAAACTAATCAAAATTCGATGAAAGTTATTTGTTTGTTTCTTGGTGAGCACGAGCAAAGTGCGTGTTGGGGTGTGCCAAAAGTTTCGACATTTACTTAATTATTCTTTATGAACAAAAAGAAAAGCGTTATGGGGATGGTCAGGTCAGGGCAGGTGGCTTAGATAAATTCATAATTCCCACTAATCCCTTTTGATTTGATCATAAAGAAATTGAGATCGTAGGGACCATATTTTCGCATATAACGTACCCCGAAAATGTTATAATAAAATCTACGTCGTTGTCTTGCAGTGTTTTATTAACATTTTCTTGATTCACAACGGATAATGGCACCAACTGTTACTTGTTCATAATTATTTGATTGAAATATTCTAAGCCTATCAACTCAAATTCGGTTCTCAGATTGTTTGTTCATCAAAAAAAAACATAATCTAAAATCATGTCTACTCATAATTCCATTAGCAAAACAAAGCACACTTTTACTGGTTTGGTTGTGGCATTTAAGGATAGAATGAGAAACAGTGGTTACATTGATGCTCCTTCCACGCACGAAACTTCACTCTTACATCCTTCATTTCTGATCCACTCTAACACCGAAGAACAGTCCTCTCGTCTCACGAAATGCCTTCATGAACAGATTCAAGAACACCATAACCAAATGAACATAGTAACCACCAAAAGGATGCCTAATATAATCTATGTACCTATTTCTGGGGCGGTATGACTTTAGTGCACTAGTGTCTCGAGAATTTCTAACGTCTTTCTTCATTATGAGAGCATCCGGCACCACAAGCGTCTCTGCTTCGCTCTCATAAGCATCGTAAATGAATTCAAGTATCGTATCCTGCGAGGACCAAAGGATTGTTATCACCATGCTTGACAGCATACAATTAGCTATAGAAGATATTGAACAGAACATAACATATATGTACCAGAGGTTTAGAAGCATTAAGCCAGTGGTACATAGGCTCATACCGAAACCATGTCATTTGCCTTTTTGCAAAGTTTCTGCGCATCAAGCAAATCAAGTCTACTGGTTTTAGCTTATAACCTTCAGACCAGTTATCAGAATACTAATTTTACCAATGGAATATTCTTTAGGAACGATAACAAATGATAACATGGTATGTTATAAAAAGAGAGGAAATGACTCCGCGTAAAAGAAAAGAAAAGAAAAAGGAACATCTTTTGTTTGTTTTCAGTCACTGTTTCGTGCTGAAGCATATACACACACTATATTTAAAGTCTATGCAAAGAAAATCACCTGGAATTTTGCTGAAATTTGTTCAAAAAACCATAAAACTCTCCAGGGGAGCTTACACCTCCTTGTCGACGACATTTCAATAGATATTCCATGGCCTGAAAATGAAGAATCATATTTTGTATTGTTGATCCAATATGGTACCAACGTACTAGAGCACAGATAAATTGATATGATAAACTCTAAAACCAAATATGGTAAATGTGGATGATGATCTGCTAACAGTGACTGCTATATGTCAAGGTGTCATACAATTTCTAAAACCAAATCCATATTCTCACTAAAATGATAATGCTTCATTCAAAACAGCTACAAGCCTACAATGATCATAAACTAGAATTCAACACAAGAAAAAGCACAACCCAATAAAGAAAATAAAGATTTTACCTGTCTGTAACCAATGGCACGAGTTGCAGAGTTTGTGTTTGGAAGAAGACCAAGATCAAGAAGCCATCTAGCTTCTGACAATACTCCATTGGCACCTGAAGTTGAGAGACAATAAGCAAATTGTTCTTTTTTTTCTGGGAATAAAACTTATTACCGTAAAATCATTACTAAAAGTGATCACTTATTTACCTGAAAGCATATCTTCACATCTGAAATCAATAGCTCTGTAGAGATCAACACGTGGGCTTGACAGGAAAAAACAAAGGAAATCATAGTCCAAATCTGTCTGTATGTTTAAGAGAGAAAAATCAGTAGATGAACCATCCCCATCGAAGTCGTTGGCTTCAGGAGAATTCAAATTTTCCCGGAAAGTATCATATGGGACGCGAAAGGAAGACGGAGGAGATCCAGTTGACTGCCAGGAAAAACAAACATACAAGTTTTACAAAAACAATGAATAACTCGAGAAATATCATTTGGAGGGCTTTTTGTTTGCTTGCAGTTGAAGCTGATGATTGTCGAACCTTGAGTATCTCTAGGCTACGCCGTAGCCTGTACCAATCGTTACGAGGTAAAGAAGAGGCTCTTTCATCACCAGCATTGACCACCAACTCAACAGCTGCATCCCAGTTATGTTCGGTCTGAAAATCAACCAGCATTTCGTGGACCTCGGAGATGACTTCCGGAGAAGGTTTCGGCACATCCGGCTTCCCATAGATAAACCTAACGGTGACAAGATTTTGCAGAATGTTTTTATTCATCGCTTTAAGACATATACACAAAAGGGCACTAGACAAGTATATAAGCAAGCTAATGACATACCATCGCAGGTACAAGCCAGTGCCACCCGTGACTATGGGAACACGCCCTCTACTAAGAATGTCTTTAGTAGCTTGCCTTCCCTCGTCGTAAAATTGCCCCACGGAGTAGTCTAAACGAAGAATGGAAAAATGTGTGAAGTTTCTTGATTTACATTTGTGGCATTTGCAACATCGATAACGTAGAAACGAGAGCTGAGAAAGAAAAAAATGACCTTGAGCCGGATGCAAAATGTCGATAAGATGATGGGGCACTTCCTGAATTAATTTGTAAGACAACACAACGTCAAGCTCAAAGGTATATACTCTGAAACGTAATCTGGTCACAATGCACCAACCAACAGATGCAATGAAACAAATCTTACCAAATGTTATTAGAAGGATATACCTTTCTATCGTCTTCTGATGGCTTGGCTGATCCAACATCAAGGCCTCTGTACACCTGTTGTTTGGGTACAGCAAAGCAAGAACCTTTTTTTAACGAACAACAACCAAACATAGATGCAAAGTTCAAGAACAGACCATACTAAAAAATAAGGAATAAGCTTTAACTTCAGCATTTCAGATATCATTGGATCCCAACGAATTAGAGCATCAATTGAGCAGTCTGGTTTTTAAATCGTGTCTTGCATTAAGCATGTGATTGAAATGGTCTCAGCAAGTGTTCAAATACAGAGTTAGTGAGCTGTAATAACAACTTATCCAGAGTGTATGAAAGTAAAATAGGGACAAAGAATGGGATTGAAATGGACCTGAACGGAGTCAGCACTGATGATTTCGCCATTGAGACGCTTGGCGAGCTCCAACGCAAGTCTGCTTTTTCCAGCGCCCGTGGGACCGGAAATCACAATCACTTTCTCCTTGTCGAAATTGAACTTGGTTCGGTTCAGAGAAACAGAGCAAGCCGTGGCTCTGCAGAAACTCCGGCGCAATGCAAAACTCGGAGGTTGCAGCCCCAAGCAACAAGTACGGGTCAAAATTATGCCGCCGCTAATCACCATTCTTCGATGGGGAAAAGAGGCTAGAGAATTCGGAAAGATAGAAGAAGTTTGCTAAACAAAATAGGTTGACGGAAGAATGACCCGCGAAAAAGCTCATCTCCAAGAGAGACGAAGACAGCGAGCGAAGGGATTAGAGAGAACTAGGGGTGGGCATTTCGGTTTGGTTTCGGTTCGTTTTTCGGTTAATCGGTTTGGTATAGTTCGGTTATCTTTGACTTTTGGTTTTCCATATTTAAAAAATTTTAAATCATACAAAAACCATAAATAACTTCGTTCGGTTTGATATAGTTTGGTTTTTTCGAAATTACACTATTACAAAAGAATTTGATTTAAATTAATAGAAATATTAATAATAAATATGAGTAAAATAAAATAAATAGTTCAAAAAATAGAATTCAAATCATAGCAAATCCATCGGTAAAACTTAAATTTATAAAAATCAAAAACTAAATTAAAAAAAAAAACAAATTCTTATTATTGTCTTCACTTTTCAGCCACTATTGTTCACATCGTCATGTTATTTATAAATCTTTGATATACAAAATTTATTATAAATAAATATTGAGAATAATTTATATTTATATAAGATCTAAATATAATTATAAATTTACAATATATTCAAAGACTACTGGAATCAAATTTGAATATCAAGAACAGATTTCAAAACTGAAAAACAAAGAAAGTATTAAATCATTCAAAATCAATAACTAAAAAACAATAAATATAGATAAATTAAAATTAAATACTTAGAAATAAAAGATTTGAATATAAAGAAAGAGGAGTTAACCATAAATATTTTTTTATTGAAAACTAAGGTTTACAACTTTTTATTATTTCTATATAGATATTTTTTTATAAATATTGTATTTTAAATTTATAAGTTAAGTAAATAAATTATAAAGATAATTAAGCCTAATAATAAAATATAAACCCAAACTAAATTAAAAAAATAGAAAAATATAAATTATTTAAAATTTAGTTTTAAAACCGAAATTTTTTGGTTTAACGATTTTTAATCAAACCAAACTTAAACCAAAACTATAAAAAAAATAAAAATCAAATGAACTTTTAGGTTTAACCATAACCAAATCATATCACTTTTTCGGTTCGATATGATTTAGTTTATTTGATTGTGGTTTTTGTGTCCATCTCTATAGAGAACAACGGTTCAATTAGGTTTACCGATTAACCGAATTCAAATTATGAACTGATATAGAAATGCTTTAGCTACATTGCCAGCAAAAACCAGAAACATTTTCTCCATCCTTATTGCTGAGTAACAAACAACTTAGGAATAGAGATTTGAAAAGATATTAATTTTTTTTTATTGAATATCGACTCCATAAATTGTTAAATGTTATCTAAAATTGATATAAAACTCTTTTCGAATAAATTTAAAATAATTGATAATAATGGACATCTTAGGAAAGGAATTTATAACAAATGGTACAAATAGTTTTTAGTACATAATACTATAATATATACAATGGTCCATTTTCAAAATAGAATAAACTTAAAACTTAGAATTTTATATGATAAATATAACTCGCGCAAAGTCTCAGATCCTAAAAGTAGTTATTATCAAGTGACTAATTTCTCAAGTATTTTTTGTCCTAATCATGTACTTAGCGACAATGTCAGAAGTCAAAAGATATGAAAGATTCATCGATACAAATACATGTCTAATATTTTATTTCATAATTTGCTTTAAATTGTTTTAACTTTTTGATTATTTTTTTTGATGTTGAAGTTGATATATATATATATATATATATAGTCTTTGCTTCTTGGTTTTGGATGGGTCATACTTTCCATCACCATCCAGCGCTTTGCTCCAAAATTTAGGAAGGTATTATTCTGAATGAGGATAATGTCGATGAAACTGAGGTTGTGTGAATATGAGATGCTTAATCTCTATAAGTTTGAACATGGGTTCATCAATACATATACATGTTCAATATTCTATTTTGATAATCTCTTTCAATATTCTTTGTCAAAAAAAATAATCTCTTTCAATATTGGTTTCAACAATTAGAAGGATTTATTGAAATATGGATTTGAAAATATTTTTTATTCATTTAAAATCTACTCTTATTAGATGTAGAATTGTTAAATATCATATAAAATGTTGTTAACATTGATGTGTTTCAAATTCAGAGCTCTCAAACCTCCAAGTGAGCTATAATAACTTAAGATACGGACAAAGAATGGGATTATACTAACGACCTCTCCTTATATCGTATATTTGGATTTCTAGCTTCTCTTCTTCTAAACAAGTATACTACTGTATATATTAACTAAACAAATACATTGATGGTGAAAAAAACAATTTTTTAAAATACTAAATAGTAAAAGAATTAGTTTTAACTTTTAAGTACAATCATTTATATTAAATTTTTTAAAAACTAAATGGAGAAAATAGTAATTTTAATTTATTTTGTAAAAAGCCCTATTAAAAACCATAAATTTCTTGATCCGCCCCTTAACTTTAATATGATGACGTTTTATTTACTTCCAACTTTATCTCAAGAAGCAGTTAATGGATGATGCATATACTAAAACTCCTTCACGAAGCCGCGAACAGTAAGTCAACAAATGTAACCGTGTTTGTGAGATGTATAAATATGGAAACAACAACTTTTTTCTTCTTATTTTGATCGATTAATTTTTATGAGAAACGTGACATACTACTAGAAGTTATACTGTCCATTAACTATGGTTTATGTATATCATTAGTTCATAACTGTCTGTCTTCTTTGAAATGGTTTTGGTGGGCCTAGATTTTTCACATTGAGTGTATTTCAAAAATCTCAAATCCAAATGAGCTAAAAAGAGGTAAATCAAATTTTGAAACACTGAATTACAAAACACAAAACAACTACAATTTGGAGGTATATATATGATAATTTGTTTTAAGATTTTTGGTAAAGAAACAGTGTAAAGTCTACAAGAGGATCTATGATTGCAGGAGAGTATAGGGGATGGGCACGATGTAATATGGATATTCTTTACAGTAAGGACATTACAAGTAGTGTATCTTATCACAAAAATAACAGCATCAATGGCTATCGTTCTCTCATCTTCAGGTTAGAGTTCTTAACCTTTTTCTCCCTACCAAAGATATTCTCAAGACTTTTTGTAAACTTATTGCGGTTTTTGGTGAACAATGGTGACCAAGATTATCTTCATTCAGATTCAACTTAACACCAACAAATAAAGAATCCAACAAGACAAATATTGTAAATAGATTCATAGATATCGTTATCAAATTATCACAAATTAGCAAATTAAGGTCATTCCTCTACGTGGTGTTTGTTATTATAGTGATTAGTAGCAGCACTTGAAAACCCCCAAAGAACAAAAGCACAGAGAAAGAGAACAAGAGGGATTAGATGAATAGCTCTCTCTCCATTAACAGACTTGTAACTATTATTGTGAAGAGGCAGCTCTTTCTTGGAGACATCGTAGACCACGAGACCATCGGGGCTCGCAGAATCTGGCGAGAGGTTGATCAGAAACTCTTCGGATGGCCGAGAACCAATCTGTAACCTCTGCATCGTATGGCTTGATTTGGACTTGGAAACAATATTAAATTTATGACGTCTCCAATTCTATGGGTTTGTGTATGTAAGTTTCCCTATTCATCACAGTTTCAACCATACATATACTACAAGACTTCAAAAGTCAAAGCGTAAGCTCAGAGACATTTAATGTTGCATATTCAAGCTCCTGAAGTTATGGCTTAAGTTATGATGAATATGATCGGTGAACTTTGCTTCCGAAAATTAAATCTGTTAAAATAATTTTCGATGGAAAAAGACTAAGATTCGGTATGCCTCCCAAGGAGAGTTGAAATTTGAAGATGAAAGAAATCAAATATATTTGCATATTGAATCTTTTTGATATGATTAACAGCTATATATCTTATGCAATTATTTGGATAGATTGAGTACCAAAGTGTAGAATAATGAAAATAAGGAAATTTCGTAGATAAACTTGAATAGAAGAATCATACTACTTTGAAGTTTAAGTTGTAAAATCTTATATATTGTACTGTTGCATTATACTTTGGTGTTATTTTTCATTTAAATAAGACTATACTATAGTTTATACTTTTGAATCGGGTAAAATATATTTGCATGGATACATTACAAATCAAGACATCGAGCGTTGACAAATAAACACTAGCTAGGGATAAACTCTTACAAAACTCTAAGATTTGTATTTGCTTGGAGCCTTGCAGGTAACTTGAAGCTCCACATGTCTTTTCCTCAAGTCAAATGCGCGTTCATATGACGTTTGACTACTTATTTCTTAATTTATCTATTTAGTTTTTGTATACATGCATGCATAAACTAATAATCTAGTCAGAAATATATGATATTAGGTAATAACTTGCGCCCTGCGCAGGGTAAAATATCTTTTATTAAATTAATATAATTTTTTAAATATTATATACATAATATATTTAGTTTTAATTTTCATTTTATATAATATGATTGTAAAATATATTAATAATATAATAGAGTATTTTTTATTTATATTAGTATAAAACCGCTGTAACGTCCAATCAATATACACAGTTTTACTCTAATGGGTTTAAATATAAGTTTGAATGATACAAAAATGATAGATATAAATAACTTAATCTATGAAAGAAAAAACAAATTATTGCTTGATTGATATAATTATAATAAATAATTATTTTATCTCTTTAAATTATTTTAGGATAAATAAATAAGAATTAAAACGGCTAACCAAAAAAAAGGATTATAAACAAAAGAAAAAATAGAGAATAACATAAGTTGCAATCAAACCTCCACGTTGGTGTCACATGAATAAACAAATAATCACATTGTATATGACTCAAATTTTAGAACTTATTTTTTATTGTCTGATGAATATTAAGGTTAATCAAATGGAATATAATTTGAAGTTGTAATAATACAATGTACTTAAACTATATACAAAACAATATGTAAAGAGACCGAAGATTAAAAAATAAAGGCTTCATTATAATTTTACAGAAACAAATAACGAAACATAAAGGATGCAAATTATTGAAAAAACGGAACTAAAAAACAAAATTCAAATCCAGAAAACGATTGAAGTCTCTAGGTTTCAGATCAGTAGTAGAACTAAAAGATGCCATGAGAATGAACTGTAAAAAAACATTAACCAGAAAATGCAATGAGAAAGTGATATGTGAGTGCATATAACACATGTCTTATATATAGTTGGGTGACAATTTAAATCATGATATATATGATAAGTATTTATGGCACATGTAATATTTAAAATATAAGACATTAAATAACGAAATGACTCAATTATAGATATGAAGTTAATATTTAAGATACTAAAACCGAACTATGTTTTTACTAACTATCAAATAAATAATTAAATATGTCATTTCTTAAATAGTAATTAGTAATATCGATTATTACATAATAGTTAGGAAAGACGTATTAACTTTACCAATCATAGATTGAGAAAGACGAAAACACATCAATAACGTTATTAATCAACTATTAAATTTGGCAATTACTCATTTAATGCATATATATGGAGTACTTGGCATATATTGATCTCTTTTTAATTTATTAGTTCCTATATATTGATGCATGAATAATTTAAAGTTAATGCATATTGATACGTCTTTCTCAAGTTATCATTTAATGCATATTTACCATGTAAATTAATTTATATGTGATTAGTTTATCTTTCTATGCATGCGATTAATTCTAAACCTCTATTTCTAAAGTCAAGATTTAACAATCAAAATTAAAAAAAAATATTTATTAATTCATATGCATGCGATTTATTCTAAACCACTATTTCTAAAGTTAAGATTTACCAATCAAAATACAAAATTAGTATAAACGATTAATAATTATGTTGGATACAAATATAAAAGATACTAACTATTGGAATGAATAAATCTACTAACTATACTATTTCTTTTTAATATGATTAATGTATAATATTTTAATTATTTTTTTAGAACTATAATAGTTGAAAACATTATAAAAATTGCATCATATTATAATAAAAAATACATTTATATAGTGCATAATATGTCGATGTATAAATTTAAGTACATGTGTAGATGTATTTTTTAAATATAAACTAATATATATCGATAGATAATTTGTAAAAGTATAATATATGTTTGGTTATAACAATGCATAATGGTATAACATGTAAATATTCTAGTAATAGAAGTCTTTTTTTATAAAAATACTGAGAAGCTCTATGATGATGACACATCAGCATAATGACACCATTATAATATTCTACAAATTTAAGATTTCTCTCTAAAAATGCTTCTCTTTTAATATATAGGGGATACCATAAATACCAAACAAACTTTTCTTCCCATATTATCAAAGTTTATTGATATCACATCTTATCCAATTCAATAAAACTTCTTTAAATCATTGTACAAGTAACCTCACTTTGCTTAGAAATATGATTACTTGAAAAAGCATTACATGGATCATATTAGTATGTGTTCAACTCAATCTTGATCTGACTATTTCATTCTTGTGATTAAAGCTTTCGGTGACTTAAACTTAAATTTGAAAAAGTCAAATCTGAAATATGGTGGGGAAAACAAAAATGAAGTTTTTTTAAACTAAATTTTCCACCACAACAAAAATGTAGTTGAAGCATAGAGTCGGCCATTTTTGTTTGTTTTTGACGACAAACCAATGGGGAGTGATGTCGTATGGCTGATTTCCGTTGACCAAATTTTGATGAACGAGAAAGCCAGAAGCCAAAAAGCAAAAAGGGTTTTAACTTAAACAACAAAGCGTTGACTTAAGAAAAGACAAAAATAGATAAGGTTTATTTTTTTTTCGTTGGTAACTGGTAAAGGCTGAGGCTAATGACATCCCACTAATATACTACCTTAATTAACATCGACTCCAAACAAAATTGCTCCAAAGCTGAATTCGAATGTGGGACAGACGCACGTTCATGTTGTTAACCATTCGACCACCACTGTTCGGTTTATCCACTGTTGTATTTAATATTTACAGATGTTTTGAATGCAAAATTATGCTCATAATTACTCTTTTAACGCGAATTGAGTTGCTTATTGCTCATTTATATGATTTCGGGTAGGTAAAATCGATTGAAGATGACGTAATTTCTCATGGTTACGGTTCAACCCAATAATTGTTAAAAAATGTGTAGATGAGCAATGTGAGTCACCCGAGAAAGGCATTTGTTTGTCCGACCGGCGAAGTTAGTCTCCGAAGCCAACCTTATAATTAGTTTATTCCATTCCAGCTGCAATTGTAAAGTCAACAAAATGCTCACTTCCAGTAAATATAATATATAATATATATTTTAGAACTGGATATTTTCTCAAGGTAGACAAATGACAAATCATCTGAGTTTTCTAAGTTTTTGGTCAAATTTAAATATTTGTCTGTGCGCTTATTTAATTGATGTATGCAATCCGTAACAAATTTTCATATACATGAGACGAAGTTTTCATTAACCATATAACATACATCAACCAAATAAGGCACAGGCACGTATTTAATTTTGACCAAAAAATTAGAATATATGTTTAATAAAACCCAATTTTATTAATTACATAACTAATCTGCATGCCGGCCTTATTGATTTCTGGTGGTTAACCTTTACCGACATGCACAACCCAAACATGTAACATTTTTATACCCGATCGATTGAGGCTCAATACAACTTGGCACAACTTGCAGATGGTAGACATTGGCTCCTTTACAGATAATTTATGACAAACCTAACATATATTCGTACATTGTCCAATGTTCACGAGTCACACGACTCTATCCTTGTCGAATAATTTATGAGCTATGACCATAAGTTCTATATATATTATTATACAAGATATGACCATGAATTCAACAACAACTATTTCAGATTAAAGAAATTACAAATTAAATAATATTCAATATACGGAATCTCTCGATAGCAAACAAAATAACTTAAACTATTATTCAAAAAATATAATTCACCAGAAAAAAAAGATTAAATATACAACTCCTTCTTTTTTTGGGTCTAATTTGAAATACTTCCTCATGCTCACGCATGTTCATCTGAAAATATGAAGCTCTAAAGCCTCTAATGGAGGACAAGAAAGCAAACATAATCGCGACTGTAACTATCTTAGCCCTTCTCGTGGTGATAATCGCCGCCCGAGTTGCTCTGAAACTCTCCAGGACCTTCTTTCTCATCGCCGGCGTCGACATTTCGTTGATCCTCGCCGTGATCTGTTTCCTCGTAATCCGTAGCCGTTACAACAGAGAGAGGAAGCTCCTGGAATCGAGGTACGTCTCCGAAGGCAGAGAGCTCCGAATCGAGTACAGCTTCCTGAGAAAAGTCGCCGGCCTCCCGACGAAATTCAAGCTCGAGGATCTCGAAGAAGCCACCGACGGATTCCGATCCCTGATCGGAAAAGGCGGATCCGGCTCGGTGTTCAAGGGAGTTCTGAAAGACGGAAGCCAAGTCGCCGTGAAGAGAATCGAAGGAGAAGAGAAAGGGGAGAGAGAGTTCAGATCCGAGGTCTCGGCCATAGCTTCCGTGCAGCACAAAAACCTAGTTCGTCTCTTCGGCTTCGCATCTGTGAATCGCCAGAGGTTCCTCGTCTACGAGTACATCCCGAACTCGTCTCTCGACATCTGGATTTTCCCGGATAGAGGAAACCGAAGAAGATGCGGAGGAGGATGCTTGTCTTGGGACCAAAGGTACCAAGTCGCGATCGACGTAGCTAGAGCGCTTGCTTATCTTCACCACGACTGTCGATCGAAGATCCTGCATCTAGACGTGAAACCCGAGAACATTCTCCTCGACGGGAGTTACAGAGCGGTGGTAACAGATTTCGGACTCTCCAAGCTGATCGCTAGAGACGAGAGCCGGGTTCTTACGGATATCCGCGGCACACGCGGGTATCTAGCCCCGGAGTGGCTTCTAGAACACGGGATTTCGGAGAAATCCGACGTTTACAGCTACGGAATCGTGTTGCTCGAGATGATCGGAGGACGGAGGAGTATTTCGAGGGTAGAGGTTGAGGAAACGAAGACGAACACAACAAGCACGACGAAGAAGAAGAAGAAGAAGAAGTTGGAGTATTTTCCGAGGATTGTGAACCAGAAGATGAGAGAGAGGAAAGTAATGGAGGTTGTAGATCAACGGCTGATAGAAGCGAGGGAAGTGGATGACGAAGAGCAAGTGATGAAACTGGTGTGTATTGCTCTTTGGTGTATACAGGAGAAGGCTAAGAATAGGCCTGATATGGCTATGGTGATTGAGATGCTTGAAGGGAGAGTTCCGGTGAACGAGCCGCCGGATTCCGAGGTTGTCGTGGTCGATCTTTTGGCGGCTGATGATGATCCGACTCCAGGTGTACGACGTGTAGTGGATATCCCGAGGTTGCATATCCATAGGGAGAGGAATTTTCGTTTACCCTCCATTTGCTCTAGCATCATATCTCCCATCTCTCCCCGCTAGGTTTTTGTTCATATGTGTATTTTGGTTTTGTTTCATATTGAAACTGAAAAATGCTTGGCGTGTTACAATTTATATATCCTTTGATATGTAATAAGCACAGTTTACATAACAAGCATATGGTTTTAACATTCATGAATCTCTGAGGTGAAAGTTGAAGAAATTAGATGCTGATTAATTCACTCATTGCTAAAACATTACAAGATCAATGAGATTGTTCTTATAATGGAACTTATGTCGATGAGTAGAAAAAAAATACAGAACTATCAATCATCTCTAGGGAAACATGTTAAGAATCTCAAATTTATAAAGAGATGAATTCTAAACTAATATTTAAAACGCATACATTCAGTCTTCCATGAGACTTGGCATCAATATTTTCTTAGCTCTGGCTCTCAAATAATGCTCATGCAATTTCCGGTTTGTCACAAAAGTCATTCAGCATCTCCGGTATTACTTCCATTTTGTGGAATTTTTTTTTGTTTGAATTGTAAAATATTATAGACACGAAAATAACATAAAAGTACAAAACCCCTTGTAGGGCTTAGCTAGAAAAGCCCATCACATCCTTAACCGAATTTGACTGTTCAAAGTAAACCGGAAAATCTCCTACTTCTCTAATCAGGGAGACACTGATCGAAACAAAAGGTTTAGGGAGAAAAGGGAATTTCCTAAAACGATGGACGGTAAGGATAAATAAAGTGCAACCCATATTAGAGTTTATGGATTGCTGCTGAAGCTCTTTCTCTCTGTTTCTATTGGCTTCCTTAGACTTCTCCGTCGATTAACCTTGCCGAGGTACTGTCTCTCAGGTACGATCTAATTTTTGATTAATCGTTTGCGCTTCGTCACTTTCTTAGCATCTACCTCTGTAATATATAATTCTGATTTAATTTTACGATTAGTTTCTGTAAAGACAACGCTATATTCGTATCTGGGTTTTCGTGAATCGTTGGAAAATTTTGTCTATCTATCGGGCAATATCGTTCTGGTGCCTTTTTCCGGTGCAGTGTCTGAACGGATTCAGTATTTTAGAGCTTTAACTTTTCAGAATTTTCGGGTTTGTCTATGAATTTCGAGAGCTTGTCCGTCTTACGAATAAAATAGTTGGAATCAAGTGATGCTTTTAATATTTTATCTCACTTTGAAGTTGTTAGGGTTTTATTTCTCTTTGATTTCTTTTGGTTTGAACAATGTCGTATTTGTCTTGTGCTGTGTCCCATGGATTCATCATTCACGTTATTGAGAATGCTGATATCTCGCCTAATGTAATCAATGTGGTGTTAATGTTTGATGTAATATTTCCCTGCAGGGTCATTATTTTTGTGTTCCTCTCGGCTTTTGCTTGTCATCCAATATGAGTTTCTCTGGAGCTGCAGTTGGTTCAGGTTAGTATATTCATCCTTTGTGCTTCGTGCGAGTTCTAATAACGGGGGCGAGATAAAAACTCTCAATGGCAACATCTTTTCAGGCAGAAATTTAAGAAGAGCGGTAGAGTTTGGGAAAACTCATGTGGTTAGGCCCAAAGGGAAACACCAAGCGACTATTGTCTGGCTACATGGCCTTGGAGACAACGGCGCGAGGTAATTCTTTACTTTTCTGATGATGGTTTTTTTCAATTTGGAAATCAGCTAGTATAGTAGTTTTATTGTACATGGCTTTCCATATTACAGTGTCCAAATCTAGATACTCGGCTATTTGGAATGGTGGAAATAAGATGTAGACTATTGACTAATCAGTAATGAGTTGATGACTAATGAGTGTAACTTTTGTTAGCGCTCAACTTTTGACACCTTGTCTCTGTGCCTTGAAGAGTCTTTTTATGCAATGTTGCTTTACACTTATTTCGAAAAGCTGGCACTGACCTTGAGTCTTTTTTTTTTTCTTGGTTTTGGATGCAGCTGGTCACAGCTTTTGGAGACGCTTCCCCTTCCAAATGTGAGTTATAACTTGCATCAAGTGATCTCCTTAATTATTTTTAAACGTGCTCAGTTACTATACCTTTATCAATACTAACCAATCTTTGTATTTGTGGTGTAGATTAAATGGATATGCCCTACTGCTCCTTCTCAACCAATAAGTTTGTTTGGTGGTTTTCCCTCCACAGCTTGTAAGTTATTTGCTACATAGCATTCGTCTTTCATTCAGTTTAGCCGAAACCTAGTACTAATGGACATAGAACCGGTGGTTAAAGAGAGTTGAAATTGAATGTAGTGATGTTCTTGTAAATGATAGTTCCAGGGGACAATTAAACCAAGATTTTTGTTTGAAATTCGCTATTGATGATGGACATTAATTAATGCAGGGTTTGATGTTGTGGACATCAATGAAGATGGACCTGATGATGTAGAAGGACTGGATGTGGCTGCCGCACATGTTGCAAACCTCTTGTCAAATGAGCCTGCTGACAGTAAGTTTTCCTTCCAAACTTTGCCTCCTCATTCTCCTTCGCGTTAAAAGATTGAGTAAACCACGACAATGCGAATCTGAATACTATAACAGTATGCATTGTAATTGTTGGAGGAAGAGAGTCCTGTGCTTGTAATGTCTGCATAGTTTTGTCAAAAGTTGTGGCTGTTAACCCAAGATTACGAGATTCCATTTCTAAAAACTGTGTTATCTTCCATTGCCTTAAAGTCAAATTAGGTGTTGGAGGGTTCAGCATGGGTGCGGGAACATCTCTATATTCTGCAACTTGTTTTGCTCTCGGTAAATACGGAAATGGCAATCCTTACCCTATTAATTTAAGCACGGTCATAGGCTTGAGCGGGTGGCTTCCTTGTGCAAAGTATGTTTTCCTCTTGTCCTAACATTCTTCTAGTTTAAGAACTTCCATGGATTGATTGGGATATATGAGTGACTTTGGGTACGTTTATTATCACAGGACACTTGTTGGCAAACTAGAAGAGGAACAGATCAAGAACCGAGCTGCATCGTTGCCCATTTTAGTCTGTCATGGAAAAGGTAATTAAGTAAATTGTATTTTACCCTTAAAATGGTTGACTCAGTATGTTTAATATGCAAAACAAATCATGGTTTTAATACTGAACCTTGCTGTAAATGCAATTCATTCTCTTAAGACCTGACTCAAGTAAAGGAAGGATTACACTTTTTAAGGTTTTCTCACTCTTCCTGTTCTCATTCTGATTCAAGTACCTTTGGTCTTCAGGTGATGATGTGGTGCCGTTTAAGTTTGGTGAGAAATCTTCACAGGCCTTGATGTCACATGGCTTTAAGAAGACCACCTTCAAAGCTTACACTGGACTTGGCCACTACACAATCCCACAGGAGATGAATGAGTTGTGCACTTGGTTGACATCCACTCTCGGGCTCGAAGGTTGATGAGGCCTTTCATTGATGTTGCTTTCTGATGAAAAACCACAAACTCGTTGAGAGTTTCATTGATTTGGATTGGATTTTTTCGGATTTTCACTTTAAGGTGATGTTACGTTGGAGGATTTATGTAAGACAAATTCGTCTATTAGTAGTGCAGGTTCTCTGGAATTCAGCAAGGTTCTAATTTCTCGAAAAGGTTTTCTAACTCCAGATTAAATCGTTAGATTTTCATTTTTTTTATTTTAATGTACCAAAAAAAAAAACTCTATTACATAAAGCATACAAATTAGATTACCAATAATAATTAATGAATACGTAAAAAGTATCCCGACGGTTGCGCCTAACTTAAGTGACTGATTACAAAATTTAAAACGTGTGCGAGACATAGTTTGACACGTGTAAGGACGAAACTCGCCTGAATCATCGTTTCTCCCTTTCTCACTCCGCTTGGGCTCTAACATCATCACCTTGAAAGCGCGAAATAATGGGAAGAAGAAAACAGAGATGCTTGCTCTCTTCCTCTCCTCTTCTTCGTATACAGCTCTCTCTCTCCTCTCCAGATCCGTGACTCTAGACTTAGCGAAACGAACGAGACTCTCAGCTCTCACAATGTCGATGAACCTAAGAACCCACGCGTACGCAGGCAATCCCTTGAGGTCCAGAACCCCGAAATCCACCGATCCTTTCTCACCTTCCTCCGCTTTCGAATCCCTCAAAGCCTTGATTCCAGTGATCCCTAATCACCCCACACCTTCCCCCGATTTCAAGGTCCTTCCCTTTAGCAAAGGACGCCCTCTGGTGTTCTCCAATGGTGGAGACGCTTCTACGACGCCTATCTGGCATCTGAGCTGGGTCAGCTTGGCTGATTGCAAGGGTTTGTTGACGAGCCGTGGGGCTGATCTGAACGAGGACTCGCTTGTTTATCTAGGACCTAAGGTGGAGGAAGATTTGGTGTATTGGGCGGTTGATGTGTCGGAGGAAGACGGCGTGGTTTCTGAGCTGGGAGGGAGGAAGCTGTGTTTCGTCGACCTTCGAACCTTAATGGTAGCTGCTGATTGGGCGGATCAACGCGCTATGGATGAATTGGCTATTGCCGGCCATGTATGTGACCTCTTTCGTCTTCATCATGCTTTAAGTTACTTTGTTTTTTTTTGCTTTGATGGTACCATTTGGTGTAAGCAATCTAAAGATGACATGGATTACGAAATTTGAGTAATGAGAATTCGTAACCATTGCTGAGGAGAGTTCTTGAATGTTGAGTTGAGCTCACGTTTTCGAAAATTTTATTGAGTTAACAAGTATCCTTTATTGCTGAAACTGCTGCATTTTAGGACTTTTATTTTCGTCTCATATACCTGACTATATGATGATAGGCCAGGGCATTGCTTGAGTGGCACAACGTATCACGGTTTTGTGGATCTTGTGGAGGTACCACTGTGCCAAAGGAAGCAGGAAGAAGAAAACAATGCTCAATCGAGGCATGCAAGAAGCGGGTTTATCCCCGTGTTGACCCGGTATATCGCGGCTTCCTCCATTTTTCTTTTGCGCTACATTTCCCTCAAGAGCATGGCTTACTTTGCGGAACCTCTGGCTGATTTTGGTCCCCTTTTCCATCACAGGTGGTTATAATGTTAGTTATCGATCGAGAAAATGATCGCGCGCTTTTAAGCAGACAATCTAGATATGTACCGAGAATGTGGAGTTGCTTGGCTGGATTTATTGAGGTATCAAGACCTCACTACTTTTCAATACTCCCTGTGTTTGGTCCATTTCACTTGACTTGAGTTTTCTATGTATGATCTGAGCTGCTTCTGCTAGCCAGGGGAAAGCTTAGAAGAAGCTGTGAGGCGAGAAACATGGGAAGAGACAGGCATTGAAGTAGGAGAAGTTGTCTATCACAGCTCTCAGCCTTGGCCTGGTAATTGAATAGTTATAGTATAATTGTTGGTGTAGGGTTTCTCCGTTTTCCATTGATCTGTGTTTGTTAGCTTGTGGTTTACAAAGTATTATCGTTAGCTAATGTTCAATGCATGCATCCATGAGTGTGATATTGATGAGCAATTTTGGTTGTCAAGCAGATAAAGATTAAGTTTGTAGTAGTCTTTGAGCAAATTTGCATTAGTTAGCAAGTAGTTCCTCATTGTATAGACTTGGAACTTGGTTTACCTATATATATGAATTGATTACAACCTTAGTTTTTTCTTCGAAATTAAGAAATGTAGCCTTGTATCATGTTCATGGGTTTGATTCTCTTCGTTTGTGGTTTTTTTATCTAACTTACAATAGTGTCAGTATTTTCTTTTCACAAATGCTGGGTAATTGCCATTCCCTTCAATTTGGACACCAAAAACTTTCACACTCTGTATTGATGCTTTCTCATGTGTAGACGCCTCTTGAAATGTTGCCACTGCTGTAACATTTTGTCGTTAGGAACTTTGATTCTAATGCCTAAAGAAGCTTTTTAGAAATTATTTGAAATGCAAATTTAACAGAAACGAGGATATGCTCTGTCTTAAATTGCAGTGGGACCAAGTAGCATGCCATGCCAATTGATGCTCGGGTTCTTTGCTTTCGCCAAGACTCTTGACATAGACGTAGACAAGGAAGAGTTAGAAGGTACATTCTCTTCAAGTCTTTGGAGTGCCAGAGTTTCTTAACATTCATCACGTTGAGCTTATCTTAACAACTTTGCATCATGTTTATTGCGCAGACGCTCAATGGCACAGTAGAGAAGATGTGAAGAAAGCACTGACGTTTGCAGAATACAGGAAGGCCCAGAGAACAGCGGCTTCAAAGATAGAGCAGATATGTAAAGGTGTGGAGAGAAGCCAGAGTCTATCAACCGATTTCAATGTGGAAAGCGGTGAGCTCGCTCCGATGTTCATCCCGGGGCCATTTGCCATTGCTCACCACCTGATCTCAACATGGGTAGATCAGGGTTCTGGCAATGTTCACTCTAAACAGCAAGCCGGTCTCTCTCTCTCAAGTTTGTAGCTTGGAAGTCATAGACTTTGATGCTCAGAGAGATTAAACGATTACTATTTGCTTTAATGCTTAATTTGAATTGTAGTGTCCTCTGTGTACGGACTTGCCGAACTTATCATAGTTTGTTCTTATCTAATTTACCCTACATCAAATGAGTGTAATCTAGTTTGAAAAACTATTATTTTTAGAAAAAAAAACTTTCTTTCCCCATCTAATTTATTGTTTTTAGTTTATTACAATTATGAAAATAAAATGATATTTTTACACTGGCATGAGAATATCGTTTTGGGATCACGACTATAATGAATGGTTTTGTTTTCATCACACTTATCACACTAGAATGATTTCAAGAAGTTTTGTAAAAATCGTATTTTCTTAGAATAAAAAAATCATTATTTTTACTCATTCATTTAGTCATTAGTTGTAGTCAAAATTTAAAAAGAAAAACAAATTTCACTTGAAAAAGTCTAACAAATTTCATAAATACTACACTTTACAAATCTAGTGTTTGATTCTGTTAATGTCTTTATCCTCTGATAACATGTTTTGTTGTGTAGATGGGGAAAGAAAGTTTTATTTAGTTTTCTTCTTTTTACTATCTTTTGTCCTTAAATAACAGTTTTCTTCTTTTTAGTACAATGTGTCTTACCTCCTCACTTTCCGGCGTTGTGACCAAAATCTAGGATGGTTTTTTTTTCTTTCTATAAAATAAGTTTTATTCGGGATCAAACCTAAACTTATTTTATAGAAAAAAAGAACCTAAACTCCAAAAATCCCGGACCAAACCAAACTAAACCGAACAACCTCAAATTAAGTGGGTCAACGTAATATTTCCCGAAGTTATAAGCCCGAATAACAAAGGCCCATTGGAAATTAAGTGGAGGACAAGTTTCTCGTTCATAAATAATACTAGGCTACGCCTAGGGCTCCATTGTTTTGTGCTCAGAGAGTCTTCTCAGTTTCTTTGCAATTGTCGATTTCCAAGCATCAGATCTCGAAGTCGTTCGCTCTTGGCTTCTTCATGACGTCACTGAGGCTCTGGGGCAATTACTTCCCGGGTAAGGTACTGATGCAGCATCTATTGCTTTACCGACAATGTGATACCCATTTGAATGTTTCTCCTTTAGTTCTGGTTATTTTTAAGTCGCTTTACTATTTTAGTTTTAAAAGGATTAATTCCTTATCTCTACTTTGTCTTTTAATTCCTTATCTCTAGCTTGTCTTTAAGAAGTTTTCCTTTTCCTAATTGTGATTAAGGAACGAGGCTTATATAAGTTGTGTTTTAGAGTTTATGATAATCAGCTTTGCAGTTTAATAAATAAGAGTTTCTCTTAAAAACCTTGTGTTGATTTGTTTCAATTCATCAATTCAGGAAGTCAGGCTTCCAGGGATTGTTAAAATCCATAGATTGTTGAATTATCAACCCTACGCCGGTACTTTTTATCTGTCTCCGAAGACCTAAGTCGTAATTCACGTCGCCTATTCCTCTTATTTATCATATCGATCTCTAATTTCTCAGTATTTCGGACTTCTCCCATAGAAATAGGATAATCTGATATTAAGAATTCTTATATCTGTTTTTTTTGCCTCTCTTTGTATAGAAAAGAGATGTCGAGTTGGACGGAGAATGATTTGCAATTGGGCCGAAACACTTCGGCGGATGAAACTGAGCCATGTAATCTTCCATTGAGGGTGAGGGGTCCGCCTCCCAAAGCTCCCGTTTATCCTTCTCATCTTCGTCGTTACAAGAAGCCGCCTCCACGAGCGCGAAGATATATTGCTATACTCCCTAAATGGCTCACAGGCAAGGAGCTTGAAACTATGAAGGCCACAGCCAAGTCTCTGGCGCGGCATGGGAACTCTTATGTGTTGAATTCGGGAGGGAATATGGACAATAGGCAGTTTGAGTTTATGAACTCTGATGATAGAAAGTTCGTTTACTTCCATAGTCTTGTTGCTGCTTATCGAGATGACCTCAGGACTGAGGAGTCGGAGTCCGGGGCTTCAGAGTCGGAGTTGGCCGATTATGAAGCGTCTTTTCATCGCTTTTTTGTGGAAAGGCAGAAGCTGCATGAGGGATCAGAGCTAGTTGTGATAGATGCACACGAGTTTCTCTTGTTGGAACAGATTAGACCTCCTGAATCTGAGCCAAAGAGACAAAAGGTTGTTTGACGAGTCGGAGGGATCAGAGCCAAGTGACAAAAGTTTGGATTACAACTTAATTTAGGTGAAAAGACGTTAATACCATTAAAACTGAATATATTATGTGTTTACAACCAATGAAAAGTGTAGATTTGTTTGTTACTGATTCTACAATCCATAAAGTATGGATTGGTTTTTGAGTTAATCAACTATATCTTACTTTTTCAAATAAAATTAAATATCATTTATTTTATACAAATCGGTAAACGACGAAAGTTAAAATATATAATTTTAACAATTAGTTATTTTGGTTATTATAGATCTTATTATATAAAATTAGATTTATCAAAATTAGTAATTTACATGACAGACACAAATCAGGTCAATCAATTAGATTTTGACAAATATTGTGATTATATTAAAAATAAGATAAAAATATATATTTCGATTTAAAAAAAAAATAACTTAACATCTACTTTTTTTTAAAAAAAAAAAGAAAAATAAAATTTAAAAAAAAAGAATAAAAGTTAATAAAAAGTACAATTGGAAAAAAAGAGAAAAATAAAAAAAATATATTTTAATTTAGAAAAGAAAAAAAAATTAAAACACTAATCCTAAAAAAAAAAATAAACCAAGCAAACTAAAATATAATTTGATAACCCGAATGCTCACCTCTTCCCCTACGGTTAAGTCAGTGGGTATATAAAGACTGATTGTAAAACTGGAACGCAAGTTTCTCGTTCATAAATATTGGTCTACACTTAGGGCTCAGTTTTGATTTGATTGTCAGGGGATCTTCTCTGTTTCCTTATAATTGTGGATTTACTAGCTTTTGTTTGCTCCCCGCTTTTTTTTTTCACGACGTCACTGAGCCTCTCACAGCGGGACTATTACTTCCCGGTTAAGGTACGGTACTTGTCATCTGTCTCCAAAACCTTAAGTAGTCATTTTCTTTGTATAGAAAAGAGATGTCGAGTTGGACGGAGAATGATCTGCAATCGGGACAAAACAATTCAAATTCATCCCCTGTGGATGTAGCTGAGCCCCCTCTAACAGTGAGGTTCTATGCCGATAGCTCAGCCTGTTTAGTTTCCAAAACTGGGTTGGAGATAGAAGATGGTGACAGCGCATCAGGAAAGTCCGAATTTCTCTTTTCTCTGGAGCTCAAACCTTTATCACGCTTATTACCAGAAAAAGCTTGATGAGTACCAACATGGTGGAACTCCGGATCGTATCAACCCTAGAGATTATGAGATTCCAATTAGGACGCGGATTCCCCCTCTACCTCTAGAAACTTTCAAGTATCCAGCCTTCAATGATAAGAAGCCTCTTCCGCCTCCACCTCAAAGGAGGGGTCCGCATCCACCACCTTGCAAGTATGTAGCCGGGTATACTTGTTCATTGTTACTCGAGCACTTCAATCAACTTTACTAGGCTTATCCATCTCACTTTAACCTTGATTTTTAGAACAATTTTAGTAAGCTGAGAGTTTGCACTGTTGAGGCAATGGTTGATCTCTTGACCAGTGTTTAAAGCGCAGGCCTTCAAGATCGAATGCTTCATGACTCAGATGAAGGAGGAATACACCATTTTGATGGAGATAACATTTGAGAAATCTCAGTTATTGGAGAAAGATTTGTCCTACAAAGAAGTTGAACCTGAACAAATTTGAATTGCGGAAGTGGAAAGCCATTGCGTTCTCGGCATAGGTTATTATTAGGTGATCCTCGTGGAATGTATAAAAAACTTTCAAAATGGCACATTTTTACATTTTAAGCCTTAGAAGTATTTTACTAATACTTTTAAACTTTGAAAGTATTTTATTAACACTTTAGTAGTGAAATAATATCTGTTTAAAAATAATATTTCGATTAAAAATATTTTAAACTAAAAAGTTGAAATTAAAATATTAGAAAAATACTTCCAAAATTTAAAGTGTTAGTACGTGCCACTGAGAGTTTTTGTATGCGATTTTTACCTATTCTTTAATGTGTATTTTGACATACAGTATTATATACTGTTAGTGCTTTCCTTAACCTTCCATGTTCACTGCATCAGCGATTGGCTATCTAAACACAATAATTATTCATTTGGTATGTATTTCTTGGTTTAACGCTTATTTGTCTTTCTTGGTTTAAGGCTCATTTGTCTTTTTACAGTATTTGTAATATTGATGAATTTTAACTTTTAACAGATATGTTTAAGTGGCAGGTAGGCCCGATTCTTCGTTAAAACATAAGAAACACATGCTTTAAACCATATATATATTTCTCAAAATTGAAGGCCGCATATTTTCGTTGATGAAAGTAGTTTTTTAATGTTTAGAATTCTTGAGTTTGTTGGTGATATCATATTTCTTTTATTTGATCTATATTAACTTTTCATAGTTAACTATATTAACTTTTCAACGTTGATGTGTTGATCTATATTAACTTTTCATTATATTATTGTGGCACATAATGAGAATTAAATCTCTTATAGATTTAATCTACTTAAATTATGTGTTTTATAGTTTAAAATATTAATATAAATTATTAAGAACAACAAATATAGCCACAAAATGAAACCGAATTAAAAGAATGTATTTTCTTAAAATACAAAAAAAGGAATTGTTTTGAGAACTCCACCGTTCTTACGTGCACACATCCGTAGGATAGAATTCACTCTCATTCCTCAGGTCTGTCTGTCTCACTCACTCGGATTCTAAAACCCTCCCCTTCTTCGCAATCCATCTGTCCTTCTCCGAGATCTAAACAACTATGGCCACCTCCTTCTTCCGGCGACTCGCTAGGTCAGCTCCGATTGCATTCCCCGCCGCATCCGGATCCCAATGTAAACCTGGTTTTGGCACTTTCCGATTCTCTACCGGTGCAATCGCGGCACTTTCCGGCGGGTTCTCCTATTATTACCTCACTTCCGGCAACAATCTCGTGAGCTATACTTTTGTTTTTCTTTTTTATCGTCTTTGATCATTTCATATTCCATTTTTTTTGTTGTTGCCAAGCTGGTTTCACTTGCATTTTCTCCAAAGTATTTCACATTCAATCAGACGAGTTTAGGCGAAACACATAGATTCATATACGAAACGTATTTAGGCGTTTCTTCTCAGTTAATAATGGTTTGTGTTTATTAGAAATTTCTGACCGCCGTTTGTGCATTATGATCTCAGGTTTATCTGGATCAGGCTAAGGAAGAGACTGGACCAAAAACCGGTGCGTTGTTTGATACACTAACTACGATGATCTGTATCCCTCACTCTCCACTCAAAATTAATTATATTCTTCTGACTGATTTCAGCTCTAAACCCTGATAAATGGCTCGAGTTCAAGCTTCAAGACACTGCCACAGTTAGCCACAACACCAAGCTGTTCAGGTATTTGCTTGTTTGTTTCTCATCCTTTCTTGGTGTAATGTTCAACATTTTATCAAGTAGTTTTGAATCCCTATACTGCGTATGGGTTATGAAATCATTATTGGCAACAATCCAAGTGGTTTAGTTTAGTGAGTTTGTTTAACCTTCTAAGCATATATCCATATCTCATTGGCGCTATTTATATGGTTGGATTATGCAGTTTAGATGTCAACAGTTGTTTCGTACTAGCTGAAAGCTTTTTAAGCTCCTATACGTCTTGTCTTTTTTTTTTAAGTCCATTTCTTGAACGTATAGGTCGTGGCAATTAACATTGGTTTTCTTGTTTTTCCTTTGCTTTGAAATGTAGGTTTTCATTTGACTCCTCAGCCAACTTGGGTCTACATGTTGCTTCTTGTCTCCTCACAAGGTATGCTGTGGTCTCTCTCGTACCACTTTACAGTAAGACAAATTTATTTGGGAAAAATTCTCGACTAGACTAGAGTGGTAAATCTAACCTGTTTCCTTTTCCTTTGTACAGAGCTCCTCTAGAGTACAGTGCTGAAGGGAAAACGAAATATGTCACTAGACCGTAAGTTTATCTAAAAACTTCTCACTAGCTTTGCAATGTATTTCTTATCACGACAACTATTCTTCCGATTCAGTTCGAGAACCAGTTAGCATATCTGTTGCATTTTCATTTGGAAATAATGCAGATTGTATGCAGTCTATTATCTTTGAGCAGGTTTCTTGATTTCAAGTTTTAGCTGTTGAAAATACCACTTTTGTGGTATCTGTCTTCTAAATTTCCACTTTTTGGATGACTCAATATAGAAACTTATCGTTGAAAATACATCTTCGAGATCTTTACTATCCTTGCTTTCCAATTAATGCTCTTCGAAACTTGTACTTATGTAAGTGAGGCTTCTATTAACCATGTTTATCTTATGTTTGTGAATCAATCTCAGCTACACTCCTATATCAGACCCAGAGGCTAAGGGCTATTTTGATTTACTGATTAAGGTATGACTATCCTTTAATATCCATGTGCATCTCTCCGGTTATGGTACTTTTTATCTAGCAAAGAACTGGACGTGTTATGATTGATCAGGTTTCCTCGATTTGTTTTGCGTTTGCTATGATGTGTTCACTACTCTTTGTAGGTATATCCAGATGGAAAAATGAGTCAGCATTTTGCCAGCTTAAAACCGGGGGATGTGTTGGAAGTGAAAGGGTATAGTTTCTTGACTGTTAGCTTTTTCTTAACTGCGTTTGGTGATAGTTCTTTATTGTATATGCTGTTTAACTGTTTCTACCTTTTGTTTCTTGTAGACCCATTGAAAAGTTCAAATATTCGCCTAATATGAAGAAACATATTGGCATGGTACATACCCTTGTTCCCTTGTCACAATTGAAGGATTCGTACATATTTATGTGGAAGTTGAAAGCCGAAAGTTCAAATATTCGCCTAATTTTTGTGTTTGCTGTCCATTTTCTCTTGTTTACTTGAAGATCGCTGGTGGAAGTGGGATCACTCCAATGCTTCAGGTGATTGATGCCATTTTGAAGAATCCCGAGGACAACACGCAGGTGATCAGTTCATTGTTATCTTATTTTTTCTCAAAAATGATCATTTATACCCCATATTGAAGTATGTAATCTATCCATACAAATTACTGAACTGCTACGTATTGCAGTTGCTGGTTTCTTTACCAAGATCTTGAAAATGTTATCATCCTTTACAATCATTTCAAAATCGAGATTTTTCACAAAAGAAGATATCCTAACATGGAAATTTAAATTTCTTTGTGTGCACAGATATCATTGATCTATGCCAATGTTTCTCCGGATGATATACTTCTCAAGCAAAAGCTCGATGTACTTCAGGCTAAGCACCCAAATTTAAAGGTAGAATCCTCTTTGAATTCTTGAATTTCTTATTTTGCTAACTGGTGACTATGAGCATACACACTTTCTGTAAAAAAACTAATGTTAAAAATCGACAGGTATTCTATACTGTTGACAATCCTAATAAAAACTGGAAAGGAGGAGTAGGTTACATTTCAAAGGATATGGCTCTGAAAGGCTTGCCTCTTCCTGCGGAAGATACTCTTATCCTTGTAAGTTACTTTACAATTCAGAACCGTTTCTTGCTTTTTTTTTGAAAGAAAGTGTTTCTACAATCTTTTTCTATAACTTCTTCCCTAAAAGAGTGAGAATCAGGATGTTAAAACGTTTAGGGATACCAATTTGATTTACCCGACGAAGAAGTTATGGATAGAATCAAAGCATTCACTATAAAATAACATGTGGTATGCTTTATTGTAAATTCAGGTATGTGGTCCTCCTGGGATGATGGAGCATATATCCGGAGGCAAAGCTCCAGACTGGTCACAAGGAGAGGTTTGTACCAATTCGCCAACATCTTATCTTGGGAAGCTAATAATGTGAAACCTAAAAAGTAGCTAAACCTTTATGCCGAGAGTATCTCTACCGATGTGCGATATACACTTAGTCTTTGTTATTTTGATGGCATAAAAAGTTGAAATGAGTCGCTGTAATTATAGTTTCATGGTAGGAATGTATCAATCAGCAAGATGCAGTGCAGTTCATGTCTAATGTCCCGTTGGTTTGTTTCTCTGCAGGTCAAGGGTATACTCAAAGAAATCGGATTCACAGAGCCAATGGTTTTCAAATTCTGAGAGAAGTTGAGAATCAGAATCCCGTAGTGTCGGCTCTCGACAAGGTTTTTTCATTTTTCATGTAATAAAGAGAGGCCCCAAGCAAACATTGATTGACGCAGTATGAGCTTTGACACGACCTACCAAGCTTTGAAAATAAACTAAGGGAAACAGATCAGTTTAGTCATTGGTCTCTGCAGGTGGTAGCGGGAACTTTCCTATACTTGATTTTGATGATAAATTTCGACTGCAAGATAATGAATAATGCTTCAAAAGATTAAAGTTGTTTCTGCGTTTCAATTTTATCTCCTGTTCTTGTAGAAAGATCCAAAACGCAAGCGGCAGAATTTCTTAACTTGCCTTATCTCTCAATTCAACAGTTTGTATATTTGGCTCTGATTTGACTAAATTGCAAATCAATCCAAAATCATAAAATACAACGCAGAATGGTAGTTTGAACTGTTGAAACAGTTATATTAACGTATGACAAAATGTATAGCTCAGGTTGGTGCGGGATTGTATACAAAACTATAGAGGACCACATCACTATGGTTAGGGATTGAAGAAGTGATAGGGACATTTTTTTGGTTGAGATGTGTGTGAAGAGTAACACAAACAAAAAGCGGACTTGGCCACTGGTCCCAAATTTTATTACAAGCGGTTACTCATAAAAACAAAAGAGATAATGTCAATGAGCAATCCAACAAGTAAAGCAACCATAGCTTGGGGACACAACACAAACACGTTTCAAAGGAAAAATCAAATGGATGGATTCAGTAATTCCCAGGAACCAATACTACTGATCCGTTTGTTCATCAGAAGAAGCAGCGTCCCTCATATTGGTTTTACTGAGACGGTTTCTCCACTTCTTTCGTGGAGGATAAGTACCTGTCGTATTAAGCACGTTAAAGAGAGTTTCCGAGTCAGCTAAAAGAAACATGGCAAAGTATAGAAAGCACATAATTTGAAACACTTTGTCCTAAAAGGCTTATGTGAGTACATTTGTACATGTAGATGGCTTTTCTCAGGGATAGAAGTTTACCCCTGGGCTCTAGCCCAACGCGAGAGCTGATAGAGCTGTACAGTCTCGTTTGATGCATGGCACGCAAGTAGTAAATAGTTGCGAGGTTGCACCATCCAGGCAAATCTCATGAACAATGCAGAGTAAATGCACATCGCTGTACCAAATTAAAAGATGCAATAAGAGTGGCTTAGCTGATAATGGCCTTTAAAAATAAGATTTCTTCAACACGGTCTCTTTGTCTCTTACCTGAAGACATGTTTCCAGAAATCATTTCAGGGGGCTTTTGCATATCCACCAAACCCTATTTGTGAAATCAAATTCCAAAACTTCAATGAATAATCCAAAAACCGATGGATTGAGTGAAAAAAAAAGAAAAGACATGGAAAGACAAAACATACAGCAGCAACGAAACCCCAGTTAGCGATAGGTCCCCAGAAATGGGTTGTTTTAGGGCCAACGGGACTGTTCAAGAATGATTGGAACCTTGATGTAGCCATTATCTACTGAAACCCGCCTGCAATCATAAGCTTCAGAAATCAAGAAAATGTGAAAGCTAATTCGCATTATCCAACAAAACATGAACCCATCATTTAGATTCAGGATTATGTGAAAGCTAAACAAGACTCTTGATTTCAGTACATAGTATTTTTTTTGTTTGTTTTGCGAATGTCAACTAAGTGTGATAAGTAAATAGTTAAACAAGACTCTTGATTTCGGAGACTGGTTTCTCTCTTCAGTACTTAGCACATAGTGATGCAATCAAACATTTACAGGATTCTGAATGGAGAATCAATAAAGTGATGCAATCAAACATATACAGGATCTCGAATGGAGAATCAAGAGATAATTTTTTAACACAAAGCCAAATTATCATATATCACAAGCACATTAAGAAACCCAGAGCACTCCAAATTAGGATATCTAAGTCCAATTTGACCCCAAAAAATCACTCCATAGTGTTAGGCAATTATCAAAATACATTTCGATTCCCAATCTCAAGACTTTTTGAAAAAATATCTCGACTGATTGTGGTTAAGTGTCTACAGCAGAAAGCGAGAAATCATTTTATATGATTCCTCCTAAGACTAATACGATCTACTTTGAGATCGACACGAACCTGAGGGATGCGAAAGGCCCGATTGGTTGAAGAAGCTTGGGAGCTCCCAATTAAGCGAGATGGTGAGGGAATCTGAAAGAGAGAGAGAGAGAGAGAGAGAGAGAGAGAGAGACCGAGGAGGAAGAATAACCAAACAAGTCAAAAGACAAAAATGGGTTTGGAGGCTTCGTTAACCTTTTATGTTTGTTTTCTTTGTCAATACATAAATTAATTGAGAGGTTCGGTTAGCCAAACCGGAGCTTACAAAAATCTATAAAATTCACCCAAAAAAGTTTTACCTTCACGAACTTAAGACAATCAATATCCCTACCAAAAAAAAAAAAAAGACTTAGACAATCAATATTAGAAATTCAATAGACGAAGAGGAATAACGAATTCTCTCATATAAAAAGCTTGGGAAACGCTGGTTCAAGGTTCGAAAATGGTTATATACACATATGACCTACTCATTTATATTTACGAAAAAATAAAAAGTCAAATCTTTAAGGACACAGAAAGCTAGACCAGTATTATTTGCGTCAGCCATTAGGAAATGAAATACTATAAAAGCCTCTCTGGTTTTCCTATTTTTGGTAAACAATCACATTTTGCTAAATAAAAAGAAATAAAAATTGTCAGTTTAACTACAAATGTAAAAACCATAATAGGGACAATAATCTAGAATCAAAACAAAAAAATGAAAAAGTCTTCGAAAAGGGAAAAACGTAATAAGAAACAACCGTTTCCCACAATTATTATTATTTTTTTTTTGTTACATTCCCATAATTCTTCTTGTTTTTCCTTTCTTCCTTCATTTGTTCCAAATATATTTTTGACCTTTTTTTTTCGAGAATTCGTCTAAATACTTTGTTTTCCTCACATTCCATTCAAATCGAGAAGGAAAAAAAAAAAAAAAAAAAAGATTAGAAGAGAAAGATGGCGTTGCAGAGATCGACGACGTCATTTAGGAGGCAAGGATCGTCGGGACTCATCTGGAACGACAGGTTCTTGAGCGGAGAGATTCGTAACGACGAAAGACAGGAAGGCAACGATCATCGCGACGGATCAATGGCAGCGACGGCGCCAACAGTGCAACGGAGCGTATCGGACGGAGGACGTGGCCACGGTGCACGACTGGGGGAGATTTCTCCAGCATTGGATCCACCTTCCCCTAAAATATCTGTTGGTTGTGGCTTCTGTTCTCTGTTTTCATCTAATCGGAGGAGAAGATCAAACTCTGGAAGTGGATAAAAATGAGAGAAAGAGAGGGAAGTAATTCACTAATTAAATTACATCAATGGATACATATATATCATATATGATTGGTTTTTTAGGATTTGATTATGTTTTTTTTATCTTATGTTCTAATTCGAAATCATGATGGACAAAGCCAAAGATTATTTGTTTTGGTTTATTATTATATGACGTTTGAAGAGAAACCTTATAGATTATTGATCTTTTCGAATCTGTGTATGTGCCTCTCTGTGTGTTTTATGTTTGTTAATCATTCAGACAAACAATTAAACGAAAAGAATTAGGTTTTCCTCTATGTTGCCATAATGTGTGAACACAAAACTCTCAAGTAAAGGAGTTTTTGGTTTTGCAAATCCAATTTGGAATTAGTCATTGTGCTAAGTCTTAATCACATTACTTATCTTTAAGGGAATAGACCTTCCGAGATGAACTTTTTGCTGGCCACGCGTTCATACAAATTAACTCATAATCCCAAACAATCTCGAGAAGAATCTTTGTTCCAACTTAGAATAATAACATATGGAAAAAACGTAGGACTAGTGAATTTACAGTAAGCCTTTTTGATTACGATTGGTATAAGTTACAGCCTAAAACAAAGTGAAGAAAAGACAATTTATATAATAAAAAGGAAGGAGAAGAAGAACATCATTGAGGAGAGGCAGGTCGAACTTTGGTTCTGAAAAGGAGAATGTAGAGTTTGTCCATAGAGAAGTAAAGAAAACAACCTGTGGAATGTGTCACGAACGACCCGAAACTTGACCCTACAATGCAATGCCATGCTGGTCCATACCCTTTGTCAAATTCCTGCATATATTTTCATATCTCACATACATTATTATTATAACTTATATATTTATGTATATGCATCCATGCATGAGAATTACAATTTTCTCGCATCATCTTATTTTAAACTTTGATCCTCATCATTCCACCTTACCTGTAGTCCTAATAAAATATAGAACTTTGATCCTTTTTACAAGAAAAGGTTAAATTTGAACTAATCACATGATCTTTTACTAATTGTCTACTACAAAAATGATTGCCAAGAGAAGTTATAGTCAAAGCTACATCGATCCTAAAATATGGAGATTGCGAGAGAGACAAAAAATAAGTTAAAAAAAGAGGATAAGAGTGGAAGAGAACCACATGCCTCTGTTGGGTCATTCCCCCTTTGATGCCCTTTTCAACATTAGCTGGACCATTTTCCCATCACTCTGTTTTTTATCATTTAATTCTAATATATTCACTCTCCCATTCATTTTTAAGATCCAAAATTTGTTTATTCGCCCCCATTGATTATTTCTTTTCTAATTTTTCTGCCCATAGAAACAAACACCAGTCATCTGTTTGATACTGACATCTAATATCATGAAAAGGCAAATTGGCTTAGAGGGATGATGTGTCATTTTCCCCCTCAAACTTTGTATTCATTTACATGTTTTGGTATTCAATATGATGAGTTTCTGCCTAGTTGTTCGTATCTATGTGGCTTAAACGAAAAAAATTCATAAAGCTATATCAATCTCATGTTTTGTAAGTTTTGGCATCGCAATTTAAAAGAAAACCACATAAATAACAAAAATCATACTACTTTAGAGATATTGCAAGTTTTGGCAACGCAAATTTTGTCTTTTATTTTTTTTCTTTGTCTATTTTTTTGTTGTTTTGTCTTTTTCTTCATGAAAACACGCCTCTTGTGATATAGTTTTTATACTTTCGCATATAAATAAATGACAAATAAGAGAGAAAGTGACAAAAAAAGAAATGCGAAAAGGAAGAGAAGAGAGTGTTTTACCTTCTTGAGATTGAAAGCCATGTGCTTCGAACTAAACTTCTCCAAACTATCTAAAGTCGTTCTCGCACACCTAAACGCATGTGCCTGCATAAATCCCGGCATGTCCGCTGCTAATATCCTCACCGTTAACATCTCCGCCGCTGCCGCTATCCTCGCCGCCGTATCCCTCTCCACGTGCGACACCGATTTCCTCCCCTCCTCCGCCGCACCACCACCGCCTTCCTTTCTTTCATTACCACTACTAGTCTCTAACTCGAAGGTGTCTCTCATTAGATGGTTTTGTGTTTTATTCGGTTGGACGACGACGATTGGTTTTGACACTTCTTCTTGGGATATTGATGATGGGATTGAGATTTTGTTGGGTTTGGATTTAGGGTTTATAAGTGACTGCTTCGAAGTGGTGGTGGAGAATCTGTAGAAGTTCATGAGACTTCTTTTCTTTTTGGGTTTCTCTTCGTTTCCCATATTCATTTTCTTTTTTCTTTTTGCGTAGAAAATATTTGTGAAACTCTTTAATGGCTCATATGCGTTATTTATAAGGAAGAGTCAGAGGAGAGAAATGAGTCCTCCTCTATTATTCTCTCTTAAAGTTTGCAATTGAATAGAATTAAATATAGTTTTCTGTTCATCAATATAATATTACATTATTTTATAATAATAATATCGACTGTATCCTATGCGTACGATTTATATATTTTTTTCTTTTAATTTGGTCTCGGAAAGGATTATAATTTGAAATCGGAACAAGCTAGGAGTGTACAAAATATTAAGTAATCTAGCTTCACATGTGCATAATTGATAATTTTCATAGCTGCATCTAAAATAGGTTCATGATGGTTCTCATATGTTTTGGACAATGGTCGTTTTCTTTATTATATGAGCCAAACAAACTTATATACAAAAAACTATAATGTTTGAGCCAATGACATTGTTCACCAAGTGATATGACATTGTTCAACACTAATATTATATTTGTATAAGAGCTATAACGAACATCACTAAAATATGTTGTTTATCATACAAGTGATATGAATTGTTCTGATATTGTTTAAGCGATACAATAACAACAATGAAAATGAATCATTATATTGCAAGCTTTAGTCAAAAAATTCTTAATTTAATCACTGATAATATACCCTTCAATATATCCCAAATTAAGCCGTATCGACACCAAGACAATTATAAAAGCAGAGACTAAGACCATCTCCAATGTATTTCTTTATTTTCTACTCCAAAATAGAGTAATTCCAAAATGGAGTTGTGTCTTGCTCCAATGTATTTTTTCATTTTCTACTCAAAAAAAAAATATTTTAAATAGATTCTTATTCAATTTTATTGTAAATACTTTTTAGTTTTAAAATTTACAAATAAATCCCACTTATTTTATTATTTATAATTTTTTTCAAAAACTATAACTTAAACATTTATCAAATAATGAAAATTACATAACATCACAAAAAAGCATATGCAATTTTTATTCAAACATTACTATTACTAAAAAAATTATCATTAATATTTTTTGTATTTGTTGTCTTAAATTTATTTATATTGTTTATCTTAATTTTAACACTTATTATGTATTTTAAAGTTTATTATATTTTGTAGTTTTTTAGGAATAATTACAGTGTTTAAATATTCATAATTATCAGTTTTATAATACTTTTTATAAATATTAAATAGTATAAAATATAAATATTTTAAATCTAAGGATTAATTTGCAAATAAAAAAGTTTCACTCCAAAATGGAGTAGAGTTTAGATCTACTCCAAATATGGAGTAGAATTTAGGTTTACTCCATTTTGGAGTTGAAAATAGAGTAGGGTTGGAGAGAATTTTACTCTAAAATAGCATTTGGAGTTGAAAATGGATTGGAGATGCTCTAATTAAATAACATGGATTAGAAAGTGAATAGTGTGATTAATATAGAATCAAACCATGTGGGTTGTGTCTAAGTCAAGTGAAATTAACCTCTTATTTCTTGTCAACAAGTGTAATCAACATATATTGTTATTTTGGAATGCATATAGATGGATGGAGATGTTTGTTTTTATATTTTAACTTATTGACAAAAACACTAATTGTTCTCAAATAGTGTGTGTTTCCCGGGTCCCCAAATCTGATATTTTATACTCGTTAACCTTATTGATTTGTGCTCAGCAAATCATGACTCGGTCATGGACCCTCTTGGCTCTTGTTCTTCCAACCAATTTTGGTAGGGGTCCTTACACAATTTGTTTTTAGTTTAGAATTTATTTGCATTTGGTTTATATACTTTTGTAGGTCGCTACCAATCTTGATAATACAACAAAACATACAATATATGATGGGAAGCTCCGGGTTTGATCGAAACAGTTTCGACCGCATCTCTTCTCACCAAGTTAACACTGACTGACAAGAACGTTCGAAATCTGACTGAGAGACCAAACCTTTGAGGAGACAATGTGTGTGTGGTTTGATGCTCGAACAATACAAATATACAATATATACGATCAATATCCAATTCTATTGTTTATTCTCTAAGTTTCAGAAATCATCAGCATATCAGTGCATTGTATACGAAAGATATGAGTGATAAAGGAAATACAATCACTCATTTCTCAATTCCTGTAATTACGTTAATTATATAACTTGTACTCTGTAAGTTCAATAAGATAAACATTAATTCATCTCTTATATTGTATTGTAAAAGAGTTTTTGGTTTGAATATAATTGTACATTCGTATATATAAAAAGTAGTAGTTTAATATCCATCACTGTGGTGGTCCTTTCTGTGAATTAAATCCCATAGGCTCAATAGTTATTTTTCTCACTTTCTACCTTGTGTCTAAATATTTAAATATGTAATTTACATTGTTCAGCCGGGCCATAATACTAGTTTTTTAGTCTGTTATATTCTTTTTTTAACATTAATTCTTTGACTGATTTTCTTACAAACATTTAAGATTAACGACTGTATAAATGAAGGAAGTCACCTTTTGTCTATTTTAGGTAGACTCGATTTTGTTGATCATGTATATCAAATCGTATTTTGACAAATGTGCAAATAATATCATTCACCAATGCAATGATTTGTTTGAATAAATATATTATTTCCTTATAGATAGTGAAACAAATGTTGAATATGGCTGTTCAATATTATTACAATTAATGCGAATTTTTTCAGCAAACAAATGAAAACCTTATATAATCGAACATAAGCAGCAATCTACATTTCTCATAGAGCATCACAATACTAATCAAACACTCAAAAAGTATAGAGAGTTAAAAATTAATGATGGCTAATTCAAGATTTGTATACTTTGCTTTCCTCACTATTTCTGTATTACTTGCAGGTTAGTTTTATTAGATCAAAATTGTGGCAACCCGTTTTTTTTAATACTAATATTTTTTAAACCAAAATTTTGGATATGTGTTATTTTGCAGGTGTTGAATACAAAGAAATGGTGAGTGAAGATTCAATTTGGTCTTCCAACAAAGGAGGTTCATTGTGTTGCAATGATTATCCTAAATTTGGAGTATGTACTGATAATCAAAAATGCAATAAGTGGTGTCTTCAAGGTTGCGATAATGGAAAAGGTGGCTTTTGCAAGAAAAGATTTTGTCACTGCTATTGCTAAAGTTCATCAAAACTTTACTCTTTTTTTTTCTAGATATTCATCATGTACTATTTTTTTTATAATAGACATTTTTTTTATTTTACTACTTCACATTTAGAGTTGCTAATGATATTTCAAATAATAAGAGTTATGAATTGATCAATGAATAGAAAATGACAATCTTTGAACTATCTATTTATAAAAAAAGACCGATTTATCAACAAAGATAAGTTCTTAAGATACCAATTACTTAAAATTTATACATACATAAGAACATACAACACCATTACCATACTGTTTATGTTGTTTACAGTTGTGCCTCCACTGTTTAATTTACTTGGCTTGATTCTAATCTTTCTTTCATGTAAAATAAGATTGTTTGGATCGGAAGATATATTTTAGCTTTTTCCTAAGTAGTTCAAAATTCGTTAGAGGAAAACATTTATGATTAGAACTTGATATTTCTCTTACTGGTTGTTTTCAATTGTAGAGTTATAATGTGTGGATTTATTACAATATTCTACTATTTTTATTTGAAATATACTAAAATCAAATCTAATTGTTTTTAAAAGATTAATTGTCCGGGGATCATTTAAATTATAAAATAAGAAAAACGAGAGAACGGCGTCGTACGCTTAAATCTTCTCCAGCCCTTTGAAAACGGTTCAGTTACAAGTTTGCCTCACGCTTCACTCTCTTCCCCTTTCCGAAGCTAAAAAAGCTTCCTCTTTTCCTCAACTTGCTAAGAGAACTTGGATCGGTTCTTAGGGTTTCCATCAAGCGTTTGCGACGAGCTCTCAATTGAGGTTATTGATTTCTTGTTTTGTATCTACTACTACTTTCTGATTTCCTCAGCTCGCGATTCTGAATTCCCGGTTTCCGATCTCTTGATACGATCGATCCCTCGAGAGCTGGTGGATTCGACGTTGAATTTGTTTTCGGATATTTTGATATGATGATGTTGTGGAATTGAATCATTTTTTTTTTCTTTTGTGAATTTCGTCGCAGTCTCGTTGGTGACGCAAAGCATATACGACTTTTGGGGGATCGCTTGTAATGAGACGAATTTCAAAGTTTGGTATCTCTTACTTGCCTGAATCGATTGAATTTTTATACAGAGGCTTCACGGATTGTTTAGGTTCTGTGTTGTGAGATTGTTGTAGGCTAGGAAGTGTTGGTTTAGCTTTAGCTTATAGGAAACAATGTCCGGTGGTACTCCGGTTGGTGGTGGTGGGTACATTAGGCAGAGACATAGCCAAGGATATGCATCTGGTGGGGATGATCTTGAGGATGATGCTTGCTCTAGGCAACAGCCTTTCTCCCTAGAGAGTCCTAGATGTAAAACGTGGGTCGAGATTTTGGAGAATGTGCTTTGGATTGCATCTGCAGTGTTCATCGTCTACTTTGGAGACAGGCACTCCAATATGATATACATTCTCCTTCACGATGCTCGAATCAAAAGGTAACATATTTCTTCTTCAACCTCTTGAGCTAAGTTATTCGGCTGAAAAGAAAACCTTATTTGACTCACTGAGGATGCCATAGAAGAGGTTTGGATTCAGTATTCTTGATTATGGTGGATTATTGGAATCAGTCATAAATTGGATTATTTTAGGGAAGCAGGAATACCAAAAACTTTCATATATCAAATGTTAGGAAAATGCCTTCGTGATATCCTTAGATCTGTTGAAGAAATTCTTATTAGGTCCATGGTTTTTCCCCCAAAACCTTTTTGAGTGTTGAGGATTAACAGTGACATGTGCAAAGGTGGCCTACTATTGAAAGGCCTTTCCTTTTAAGTGGTTTGGAAAATGCAGATTCTCGTGTCATGATTTGGTGTAGTTTTTCTGCAATTTCAACATTCTTTTGGGTGATTTTTCTTGCTAAAAACCTATCTAAAACATAATGCAAACATTTGTCTTCTTTCCAGGATGCCTTTGTATTTCGGGTTGCTGGGGATAGGTGTGAACATTGTAATCATAATCTACGAAAGTATGCTATCGTGGAGCTTGAGAAGGATTGATGAGAAATGGGAACTGTGGAGTATCTCTGCTCTGCCTTTCATTACCCTACTTGGCATCATTTCATTTTGCCTGTAAGTAAATAAATCAACATTTTGTATTCACGAGGAACTACTAGTACAGGGAGTATCATATTTACGAATGTGTGATAAAAAAAAAAATTGCAAATGCAGACTCTCATTTTCACTGTGGCCTATATGGGGCTTCTTGACTCTCCCTCTTCTGGTATGAACTGTGTCAGTCCATATTTCATAATACAAATCATCAAATCCTTGTAGAGTAATCTAATCTGGTTAATGGAAATCTATATGGGTTTTGTTTTGATGATCGCAGTTCACGTTGTTCATGGCTTGCCTTGTTGTGTTCCCACATCTGATGATCATCAAATTCAGGCCTCAGAACGACGAGCTTCGCATAGATTGATCTGTAGAGTGAGTGATATACCCTTTTATTCCTTCAGAAATCAATAAATCTGAGAACTGAAAAGGGGTTTGCGGCTGGTGTGAGGTATATATAGAGAGGTAGATGAACTCATTGATCTATACAAGGGATCTTTTTCTGTAATGGTTTTTTTTTGGGTCTCTTGAGAATATTCGTTCATGTCTTTGTTTCATTTCCGAGTTCAGTGAAGTGAACAAATATTCTCATTCGTCTCCTTCAAATTCTTAGTTTTGAATTAAATTTTCTAAATTTATGATCATCCGGAATAAAAGAAGAACACATTCGTAGCCTCATAAGCTACAAAAGGATAAAATTCTGAAACGTATTCCGCAAAGAGCCAAACTAAACTAATCGATCATAGTAACTATGGTTAAAAAGTAAATCTATCAGTACGAAAAGTACAAATGTAAAGAGAAGAAACTTGGGAGGACACACATAAAAAGCATTGTGGTGGGATAAGGGAGAGAGAGAGATGGGACACGTAATTCGGCTGCTGATAAACCCTTCTTCTTCTTCTTCTTCGCCCCTTCTCCATCTCCGACGCCGGACTCTAGACACTAACTCTGTCTTCTCTCTGCGAACCTCGATTACCAGAAGCAAGGGAAGATTCACTTGCCTTTTCTCCGGCAACCAGAGAGAGGTTTGTTTAGTTAATTAATCCCTCTTGATTGTTCCCTTTAAGCAAAGCAATGGTTTCCAACATTCGAGTAGAAATCTGCTGAAGCAATTGGAATTACGAATCGGAGGTTGAAATTTGATCATTGATTCGCTATCACAAATGATGTTTTGAGAGTTGAACCGATAAGGTTACTTTAATCTTCCGACTTTCAACTTGAGGATTCTTCAGGATAGGAGTGTTGTTCCGAAATTGTAGTTTATGGTTCCGAAATGGAATAATTTCTCTGTCAGAGAGCACTTTGAAAAGAGTTGGGTTGCATTTCCCAGCTCGAGTTTTGAACAAGTTTTAGTGGTTCGAGTCTACTGTATCTAGCCTGGGACTGGACGTAGCTGATTAGAGTGAGGGTTTAGGGTCTTTAAGGATCTCTCTGATTTGGTATGAGAATAGCAATTTCATGGCTTTGTTCTTATCACTTGCACAGTGCCCCCTTCCGTCTCTGCTTCTCCGGATATCTACAGGAAATAGTTTGTTTAGCCATAATTTTCATTTAGGAACTACAAAATCCACTGTTTTTGGTCAAAAGTTCATCTCTTTTCAACAAACGTGATTGCATTTTATTGTTGCTGATAGAAGAAAAAATTGAAAAGTCTGGGCTTTCTTGTTTCAGCTCTCTCTCTCTCGGAAAAGAACAAAAGATAGTTGATCTGCTCTAAAGATGGCGAAGGGTAGCATCATATGATTTGCTGGTTAATACTGTGCTTTCTCACACTTTCCTTCATTGTGCAGGAGCAAGCTCGTAGATCATTGGAAAACGCTCTTGGTGAGAAGAAAAATGAGTTCGAGAAGTGGGACCAAGAGATCAAGAAGAGAGAAGAATCCGGTGGCGGAAATGGTGGCAATGGAGGAGGAGGAGGAGGCTGGTTTGGAGGTGGCGGTTGGTTCGGCGGCGGCGATCATTTCTGGAAAGAAGCACAACAGATTACCATTACCCTCTTAGCAATACTTCTCGTGGTATGTTTTTGCTTACCAAGTAACTCTTCTTATCAAAGTAAAAATTGGAAAATCAGATAAAGATTTTTAGTTTGTTGATATTACCGAGTTGTTGAATGGTTGCAGTATATGGTGGTTGCGAAAGGTGAAGTAATGGCTGCATTTGTGTTAAACCCGTTGTTGTATGCGTTGCGAGGAACACGAGAAGGTCTGACTTCACTAAGCTCAAAACTCATGGGAGGAAAAGCTTCGAAAGTGAGTGGAGATAGCTCAGAGGAGATATGGAAGAAGGAAGGTTTCGCTGATGTCTCTGCTAAAGAGAGCGTTGTCCGGAAATGGGGAAGTGACTGAAACAGAGTTCTCAAAACATCAAGATGAGATCAAATGCAATCGAAACCTTTCCAGTTTTTGTAATGAAATATAGGATATGTATTCTTTTGTGGAACAAGAAGAGGAGTAGTAACCCCATCATCGTTGATTAAGCCTTCTTAAACAACAATCAAGTCTCGGCTATGTTCTTATTTGTTATGTGTAATCGTACATCTTAATCAGTACTAGCGTAGATCATGTGCCATACGCGAATGTAGATCATATTGGTTTATGGTCGATTGCTATTACAATTTACAAGCAAGGAAGCAACTGAAGTTACAAAATACATCATAATCAATTTCCTTTTAAAAAATAACTAAAAATGACTATTCTTTTTTATAAAAAGAAACAGTTCCCTCAATATATAATATAAGCCAACCCCACACATTGTAAATATCTCAGGCGTCAGCAAACGCACTATTATGAATGTTTACTAATATATAATTTTGACTAATACTAGTTCTTGACATAAAAATTGACAAGTTGAAAAGTGGCACAGAGGTTTGGAGATAATAAGACAATGTCAATAGAGGAAATAAAAGAAGAAAAGTGTGTGAATGGAGACGCGAATCGGGGAAATTCAATAGCGTTGCTTGTTTTCCTTTGAAATTTGGATGCTTTAAAGCTGAAAGATGCCGAGGTTTATACCCTTTTCTTATTTCAAGAATATTCTCCTCAACTTATACTTTTTTTATATTTATTAAAATTAATATTCCTAAATCAAAAAGAGAAGCAATCCTCATTCGTCAAAGTCAAACTAGTAGTAATAATGATATGATCATTAAGAACAAATGTCCCACTTGTTGTTGTCATGACAGTCTGAGCTGGATCTTTACATATCTGTAAAAATATAGGATTGAAAAATTATACATATCCACTATTCGTTTTGATTACATTTTTAGACATAGGTGATATAAAAGTTTACGGATAAAAAATAAAAGTAGAAAATAATTCGCTTAGTTGAGAATATATAAAAGTAGTAAAATTATAGGTATGTATAAAAATATACCAACTTAGTTAAAAAAAAAAACAGAATTCGATTACTTTTAGTTTTAACTAGGCAATTGCTACTTCAATTAAGCTGCTTCATGTTGCTTTTTCTTTTCTACTTAGGAATTTTTTCTTTTAAGTTTTACTCAATAGAAAAAAAAACAAGTTCCAGTCAGTCAATAGAATGATCTAAACCGGTTGGTTAAACCAAAGACAATAATGATAATTGGATATGTGAGAAATAACCAGTCAATATCTATTAAACCGACAGTTGCCATGTGTTATAATCTCACCCACAGATATGGATAAAATAGCGAATAAAAAAACCCCAATAAATGTGAAGAAGAAAGGAATAAAACCAAGAGATATTCTCCCGAAAAGAAGACACGAGAAAAGGATATTCTAAAGAGAAACCTTAAGAATATTCTTTTTCTATCAACTTATTATAACTGCTTTCACCCTTTCTATCTTCTTCATTTCCACTTTCCCTCAATTTTCTCACTGAAATAATATTATTCCCGGAAAAAAACAACCAGAGAAAAAGCATGAAGTTCGGTAAGAGCCTCAGCAACCAGATCGAGCAGACACTGCCTGAATGGCGAGACAAATTCTTGTCTTACAAGGACCTCAAGAAGCGACTCAAGCTCATCGGCTCCAAAACCGGAGATCGTCCCGTCAAACGTCTCCGACTCGACTCCTCTTTCGTCTCCGGCGACGAGTATTCCGTCGGAATGTCGAAAGAAGAGATCAGCTTCATCCAATTGCTAGAGGACGAGCTGGAGAAATTCAACAATTTCTTCGTCGAGAAGGAGGAAGAGTACATCATCAGATTGAAGGTAAACATTTCGAAATCCGATCGCTGAATTTGATTAATAATTTCCTCCGACAAAGATCTGATTTTGTGTGGCGATAAAACAGGAATTGCGAGATAGGATCACAAAGGCTAAGGATTCAAAGGAGAAGATGATGAGTATAAGGAAGGAGATTGTTGATTTCCATGGAGAGATGGTTCTTCTGGAGAATTATAGTGCTCTTAATTACACAGGTAATTAATTATATATAGTCTTCTGAAATCTCTTTTTTCGTAATCGTTGATGCAAAGTATTAGTAAAACAAAAATGTTGAGATGGGTTTTGCTACTGTACAGGATTGGTTAAGATACTGAAGAAGTATGACAAAAGAACTGGTGATCTCATGCGCTTACCTTACATACAGAAAGTTCTTCAGCAACCCTTTTACACTACAGACTTACTGTACAAGCTCATCAAGGAATCTGAGGCAATGCTTGATCGGTTCTTCCCAGCTACACATGAATCTGAGGATATCCAAGCAGAGCTCTCTGAGCACAAGTTCGTGGAGGGACTCCACATGAAGAGCACGATCGCTGCTCTTCGTGTTTTGAAGGAGATCAGGAGCGGAAGCTCCACCGTGAGCGTGTTTTCGTTGCCGCCGCTTCAGTTAAACGGGTTAGACGAGACATGGAAGAAGATTCCGTTGTTGGAGCAAGAAGCCAAATAGAGAAAAAAGAGGACGCACTCTCTTTACCACGTCTTTTACAGGTAGAAGCTAACAGGTTGAAACCAGACTTTTATCAATGTACACAAAAGAAACGTTTAGGGTCTTTTCTGTGACATCTTTGGTCGGTCTTTGGGTCCTTTGTGTTACAAACTGCAATGTTGTAACTCTGTTTCTGTGTTGGGTGTAGTAGTAATTGATATGGTATACCACTTCAGATTTGTTACTTCATTGCTTTCTTCTTTTCCAAAGCCATTTTGCTTGTACTTGAGCCAAAAAATTACTACCATGCATTTGATTTAATAAAGTGATTTCTTGAGTAACAAAGAAATACTTGAGTATCAAAGAAAAAGAGCCATAAGATCCTAATGTCAACCACAACAACAGATGGTTACTGTGTAATTATGTCACTTTCTAATTGAACAAAAGGTTATAAACAGCTTACATGTGATGATTTAGACCAAAGTTATTCGATTTTGATCAGATGTTCAATTTTATTTTATTACAACTTTTTCTATTCGTTTAGTGGCCTGAAAGATTGAGCTTTTAAAAAGAAGTAAAAGTGAAACAAGTTTTTCATAAATGATCCACAATAATTCGCTAGAAAGCGAAGACAAAAACCAGCACAAACTCTTAAGAAACTGAATTGCAGATAAGTATCAATGTGATGGATGTTTCATAGGTTACAAAAACATGGAAGTGAAGATAGATAGAACTATGGACGGTTTTTTGAATTGGTAGTTGCCTAAACAAAACTTCAGTCAAAGCCTTCCCATACGCGGAGACCCATCATACCGAGCAATCAATCTGAGATCGCCTTAGATCAGAAGCTTCTCAATAGCATCCTGCAAGATTATTATAACCCCAAAACATGATTAGCCAATTACTCGGATATGTGGGAGTGAATGGTCATATTATTTAACAGGTTTACAAAAGGAGAGGGCTTATTACCTTGAGCTGCTGGATTTGAGATTTCAATTGACTAGCTTCGTTTGATGTGACTGAAGCAGCGATAACAGGTCTTGTTACACCACATGCTCTTCCCAAGGCTTGCTTTGAAGGCACAAACACATACGGAACATTCTGCTCACACACGAAACAAAGGAAAATGGACAATTAGTTCAAAAGAACATCAGAAGCATTTAAGAACCAAACAAATATACTAAAACATAAGCATACGAAGTCGCAGCTAGTAGAAACCATTTACACTTCCAAGCATATAATCAGAGTTGAGTTATCACTTAGGCATAAGATCAAAAATAAAAGCGCATAGTTCAGTCACCAAAATGAGGCACAAAGTTTTGCTTTCTAACAAAGCAATCAAACTAACAATCAATAATGGATTTCAAGAAGCAGAGAGATGCTGAGAAACTAATAAATAAAGAAGAAATGTATACAAAACTGGACAAGTTATCCCAACAAACAAATAAGTAACTGGCTCTCCTAATACCGATAGATTCCATTTGAACAAGAAAATGGCTGAAGCAAAGAGAGAACAAGTCAAACCTTATCCTCAGCTAGTAAGGGAAGATGAAGAAGAATCTCGAGGGGCTCTGCATCTGCGGCCATAACCACAAACTCGGAGATACCACGATTAAGCGTCTTGGTAGCTGAAAAACAAATAATTAAAAAAAAAACAAAAAATCAGGAACAACTTCACGATTTTCAAAGTCGAGATATAAACAGAGACGAGCTCAAAAATTAAAAGGTACCTTCATTAGCACCCTTCTTGAGCTGCTTGTAGTTAGCAGCTTGTTGAACGAGATCGAGAATCGTTATCGATAGCTGAGAATCTGCAAGCGGGTACGCTTTCGGGTTCACGATTTCTCCGGTCTGTGAAGAACAAGAAAAAAAAAGACGAAATTACAAACACAAATCAAGCAATCAAAGAGAAAGATTCACTAGAAAGAAGAGAGAGAAAGAAGTACCATCTTGAGCTGGGAAGCTAGGTTTCAGAGAGGATTAGGGTTTTAGAGGGTGCTAAAAGTTTCTCGGCATGAACTTTCTGGAAGGCAATATAGGCTAAGCTATGTTATTTATATCTCTCATATAGTGGGCCTGGGTAATATATTCCGGCCCAAATATTTTTCAATCCTTTTCATTTCTGCACTAATCGTAATCGCAACCGACAGAAATAGTTCGGACTCTTGAAAAATAATAATCAATTAAAGGTTACTTTACCTTTGAGCCTCATTTATTCTCTATGCAATTGCCAAGTTACATTATTATATGGTGATACAAAATAATATTTCAGCCATGTTTCTCTATGCTCACAGATAGTTAGGGAATCAAAGTGATAGGTTATTCAATTTGATTGGTAATTAACACATTCAATCTTTCAGCCGTGAATTTATTAAAAGCTTCCTCTCATAATTAGCTGGTGACAAACTTGCAGCAATGAAATCACTCGCTCTTCTTTGGTGACAACTGATAAAGATGCGTCTTTGGCTTGATGGCTCCAAATTCCAATGTCTCTCACATCAAAACAACACAAGATCTTTTTCCAAATACACGACCAAACCCATACATAATGGCAAAGAGAATATTCTCTACTGCTTTAGTTTCATCAACCACTTGAAATGTTTTTTCAATACAGAAAAACTGAGCACCTCAAAGAAAGTAAAATCTACAGGAACCGGTTCTGTGACAAGTTGACAATCAAAAGAAAATAATCGACATACCCATCATGAAGCATCCCACGGAGACCCAAGGGCTCAAACGCTCACCTGTTACAAAGTCATGACAAAAAGCAAAGTTTAATCAACATAACGCAAAGAAGGATCGTACAACACAGTAGTTCTCTACAAAGGAATTGGAACAAAACAAGAGATAACTGAGCTCCAAGGGGGTGCAAAGGCTTACCTATTCTAGCAGCCTTCCAAAAGAATCCTCGAAACCTGCAACAATGAAGCAAAAAATATGTTCAAAACTAGTTTTCATCGTGAATATGTACAGAAGAAAATGATGAATGGGGGGCATTAGAGATACGAGATAGAGACATAGAAAGTATTAGGATGACGGAACCATTTGCAAGCCAAAGTAACAAATTTGCAGATAAGATATAAGAACCAGTATGAGGTGAATCAATGGTACGGTACAAACCCAGTTTTCTGCTCCAAAATGGCAGGGAACTGCATCTTCAGATACGTGCAAGTGCATATCACAAGCAGCACCACCGTCAAAAACGAGTGGAAATTGAACAGAGCGGACTGCGATTATCAAAGGTATAAACAACTCTTAGCTCATACCACTGGGTAAACAATCAACAATGGACCTGAGAAGGTAATAATTACCATCGTATTAATCTGATCACTAAAGCACTTCGGAAGCTAATTGCCTCCTTGAATCTGAAATAACGAAACAAACAATGCTAAGTATCATATGATAATCGATTTGAAGACAGACACATTCAAGAAGAATAATCATAATCACACACACACGCACAATCATTAAACCTATCAAATCATCGCCATCGAGATTTGTAGATGAGAATTAAAGGAATGCTCATCTATTCGTGACTTCTAATTCGGATTTTCTATACAGAAGCATCTCTGAATATGAACACAATTAAATTCTCAGATCATATAGCGAATTGAACTCTATAACCTTCATATGCATAGTAAATCAGGTGAACCGAGATGGATGAAATCAGAAAAGCAAGGAGGAAAAGTGAGAAAATTCGGGAAAAGAAAGAGAAACCTGAAGTTGAGCTGAAATCGACGCAATTGTTCTACAGAAATTAGGGTTTTGAAGCTTGAATCTAGCAACAGATCAGCGACGTGAAGGAAGGGATCGAGTCGATAGAGGGAGAGAGAGAGAAACGTCTGCGAGAGAGGAGCGAGTTATTATTCTGGTTTTCCACATGTTCCCTATTATACCCCTCCCACTTCTTAAGAAAATTAGACAAACAGAAAAAGTTTTGAAACGGCAATATAATTCTCACTCTGGAATGTAAACAACATCCGTCAAAAGCCAAAGTGATTTCTAATCCACAGATGTTCAAATTCAATACCTAAATCAAACCAAAGTGACAATTTTTAAACCATAAATGTTACACCTGTCCACATATTTCGTCGAACAATGCAAACAAGTATGATTTGTTTGGGCATCTAATTCCATGAGTCTACTGCTTAACCATTGACATATAAATTTTTTTTTAAAAAAAAAGACCAAATGTTCTCTCATTTTGTTTTCTTCTTTTCACAATCTGTCAAAAGCATTCCGACCACTACCACACAAGTTAATCAAATCCATGAGAACAGAGTACAAGACATCGAGAGACAGATGACCCAACAGCTTCCGACTCTCGGACACCCCTTTCTTATCCTCGGTGCAGCCATTTTCCATCACAAGCCACCACGAGATGCATCCCTTTGCGTCTTCAGGGTTTACTTGGGCCACAAGGCTCACTCTCTCCCCTTCCACAATCTCTAACGACAGAGACAGAAAATCCCGGCTCGCTTTTGTCCCAACCGTCCTCGCTTCCTCTAGTAGCCAGCACACAATCTGGCTCGCCACCTTCGCAAATTGTTTTAAAAGAAAAAGACACTTCCCATTAATAAGCCACGTTTTTCAAGGAACTATTGCTTTAAACATGATTAACTTTAGGACAAGGAGAGTATGTCTGAACATACCTGTTGGAGAATTATCACGGGAAGGTCGGCCACGTCGCACTCGTATTTGTTCGTCGAGAATAAATTGCAGGAACTGCTTTTCAGTAAGCCAACCACATTGGGCGTGCATTCCGCTTCAAGACTAATACAATCATCCTTCACCACCACTTTTGTACGGAACTGCGTCTTAAGATTCCTCTTACCATCTGGAGACTGAGTTTCAGAACTTCCTTGAGGGATGATTGATGGAGGAACAGTCATGAAGACAGTCCACGATGATGTCCGACAATTCCATGTAGGATGAGATATCAAATGAAGATACGGGACCTTGCAGACCTGTTCGACGAGGAAGCAGCCAAGTATTACAAAAAAGGCCTGATCTGAAGATGACAAAAAGTTTCTTGATAGAGAATTGATCATCCAATAAAGTTTAACGCAGCACGGAAATTACCACGCTTTCGAGTTGCACAAGAACTCTAGTTGAGAAGATTCTATGAGCCAAAGACAAGCAGAAATGATCAAGAAGTCCGGAGTTGTTGTCCTTCGCGGTTTGATTGGATGCTCGGCTACTTTTCGACTTGGGCTGATCTTTAGCTTTTCCAAAGACATGCTCATGAAAAATTTGCTGCAAGTATATTTCATAGCTGGCACGACTAGGGAACCCTAGCTTCTTCACAGGATACTCTCCTTCAGCTGATTCTATTCTGTCAGATGATTCACTAGGCACGTTTGCAGATTCCGACTTCTTGATGCTGGCACTTTTGCCCGATGGGTAGAGAGATACAAACAAAGAAGCTCCTTGACCGATGCTCATTTCCAGAAAATTTTCTCGTATTCCACTAATGCTGAATCCCACACCTTCATTGAATGCTTCGCGATTTAGCATGTCAAACAACTGGAAAGAAGACAAAAAAAAAGTGAGAAAATGCCATTAAGAGATATACCAAGTGTAGTACGAGATACATATGACACACAAAAAAACCACCTGCTCAGCAAAAATCGATTTATGCACCTCCCGTAGAAGCGAATGAGTTTCTTTAACAGATTCATCGTCACTTACAGACAGTTTCTCTGATGTTATATCCTGATCGGTAGTGGAGTCTATGTGCTCGGCAGACTTGTTTGGGTTATCAATCGAATTTAAGCCAACAAACCCAAACCGTAGAGAGTACCATGAATCTTGGGGTAGATTAATGGCCAGCATACCAGCTGAATCATGTTCCACACGAATTGTGGACAGTGTAGATGGGTGAAAACCAGAAGTCGGATCATATAATGAACTGTCAGAAAGATCAATCGTGAAGCCCTCGTTGCTGGAGTTTGAAGCAAGCACACGCTGTCTCTTGACTTTCCAGTTCCGCTGCAACCTATAAGCTTTCCAGCACAGCAAAAAAGAGTCATTTACAAGTGTTGAAAAATCTCTATTTTGTAATGTGAAGTCATCCTAGCAGTTTCTCAAATTACAAAAATGTCAACAGAGTTTCTCTAATTAGTGTTGGCAAACTCCTAAGAATACTATGCCGGATTTTAGCAACAAAGACCGTGTACAAGTCCAACTTTAAACTTTCTCACATTAAGCAAGAATAATAAAACGAATCCACGTTTATCACAGCCATAACGTATAACAAAACCTATGAGCATAATCTTCCTAGATCCAAAAATGGGACACAGTTTATCCTGAGCACAACACAAATAGCTATGACATGTAAGCTAATTATAACAGGCATTGAAGGTTGGGCTAAAGTTTCTTGTTCGCAAAATAGGAGCTGACGTTAAATGGGAAGTTTATTAGCAAATAGTCGAACCTGATAAGAGCACCATAAAACCTTGCTTCGCGGTTGACTTTCTGCTCTAAGGCTTTTGCTGATTGCTTAAAGTATTTTCCTAATTGCTGCAGAGGCAACAGGTATTCAAAGATGACATAAGCTCACAAGATTACTATCCAAAGCCAACTATATGATAAAAAACGCTCTTCACGTAATCCAAGTTCATTTTTTGCCAACACTCTCTCAGAACACTGAAAAAATGTCTAGCTTATACAATTACCAGAATCCTTCCATCTTTTAGAAAATTTAAAACTGGACATAATAAAAGCTAGCAACTGGTTACCCGGTAGCTCTGTAACTTGGTCGCAGTAGACACGGCAAGATCTGAGAGAATCTCATTTGGCATACGCTTAGGTCTGCTGGTCATCGAAGCGACTGTTACTGCATCATTTGCTTCGACCTACAAAGATTAAAATATCAGAAACTCAATTGAAAAGTTGAGAGCTCTCTAATCTATTCATTAAGCATTACCCAAAAGCACTTCTGCCTCTTAGTAAGAAACTGTTGTTCAATTATATGACAACAAAAGGAATCCAAACTTCAGCTCCTTCCATCAAGCCAATAAACAGACACTTAAGAGCTATAATTTAAACAAAGAGTTGATGCAATCCATCTAAGAGCATGTGATTATGAATATCCAAGATTCTCTATCTATTTTTAACAAAAGTATCAACAAGTATGCAGATGAATTTTCTCTTTTAACTCTAAAAGAACCCATAACCAAAGACAAGATCTTAAACGCCCAACAAAAATCCATTTGGTACCACACAATCATTGCTAAAGAGTATCATATCCGTTTAAGCACAGAGCCACTCACAGTGTTGATAAGGTCTATGATGACGGAGAGCTCCTGATGAGCCAACTGCAGATTCTCCACCATACCCTTCCATTCCCATTGCTCCGAGCTCTCCTTGGAGCTCTTCTTCTGCTTCTTCTTCTTCAGCTCGTCTTCCTCTTCCAACGCCCACGCGAAGTCTATCCTCCGAATCAACGATACTCTCTTGTCATCGTAATCAACATCAGAAGGAAAACGCTCCGCGCCGTTCTCCTCGATAGATTCCAATCGCTTTATCGGAAGCCTGTCGAGGGAGATTTCCATGTCGCTGTCCATTGTGTACAGCAAGTTTTTTTTCCCGGTGAAACCCCAAATTTCTAGAGCATCAAAACTGAAGCTCGACGGTGACACAGTCGGGAAACGCTTCGCCGCTCCAAATCGGGTTATTTAGATCTAACAATTTCGGGTCGAAACTTTATCGGATCTTCGTTTCGGGTCTACACTAAGTAAAAAAGTCAAGCCCACAAAAAGCCCATTATATACCAAAAAAACTGCAAATGCTTTGTTTTAGCCAAAACTCTTCTGTAAAACCCTTTTCATTTTGGAATTGGGTATCGTCTCGATCGCTTCCTCTTCGTTAGTCGCCTTCGAATTCGCAGGTATCTTGATGAGTTCTGATTGTTTTTGAACTTTCTCCGTGAATTTTGATTCCGTATCTGGATCTATCTACGGGTTTGCTCTCAGTTTTTTTTTCTCTGTGGGATTTGGATTAAGTGTGTAGCTAGAGAGATAGTTGCTCAGATTCGTTTTACTCCCGCTTCCATTATCCGATTAATCAAGAGCTACAGTTTTCGAACAAGTTTTGAGTATACAAGTGGAAATGAGATGCCGATAGCTCTGAATCTCAATCGAAATGCTTGAGGAGTTCTCTTTTCATTCATCTAAAAAATGGGTTATGTGCTCCGAGATTTTAGGTGTAATTTACTCTTTAATGCTATTTTTTGAATTGCAGAGTGAGGAACAATGAAGGTGAGATCATCTGTGAAGAAGATGTGTGAGTTCTGTAAGACAGTGAAACGCCGTGGACGTGTCTATGTTATATGTTCATCCAATCCTAAGCACAAGCAAAGACAGGGATACTGCTCCATTGCTCATGAAGGAATCATACCTCCTCCCTTGTAAGTATGCTCTGTTTTTTTTTAGCTTTTGTGTGATTAGAATTTGGATTTTAGATACGTAACGTTAGATGTGAGCTTCTTGGTTCGTACAAAGATCACTAACGAAGCAAAGTCTCTGCTTTCATTGTGACAGTTGTAAATCACTTACTGCCCTGACAACTGAAACTGAGTTTTATGTTCGCTAAAGACTTGAATATCTTGTTTTTGGCTGTTTTCTTTGAATCAAAGACTATTGAACAGTAACATGTTCGTGCTTCTCTATATGTAACCTCACAAAGAAACATGAGATATGAATTGAGACATTGAGGTGCTCTTGTATTCCATTTGCAGAGTTGAAAGTAACAAGAAACTTACTTTAAATTGTTTTGTGACCATTAAAAAAAAACAGGTTCACTGAGTCGATTGCTAATCAGGAGGTAGTGAGGATGCCTGGTCAGGGCGTATCAGCCGGTTTGGCATCACTTCTACACAAGAGGCCTGAACCAGCAGCGGTTTTCGGATGGAGGGCAGGTCTTGCATCGATTCTCTTCAAACAAGGGAATTAGCAAGTTAAAAAGCAGCATTAGTAAGTTGTTGATTTCTGAAGTTTGTTATCCGATTTCTGATAAGGTGAAACATTATTGTATATCTCAACACATTTTACTTTTGGTCAGTTGTAGGCTCTTCTAGACCCGCTGGATTTGCTTGCGCCTACTTTCTTGACCTGAACAAAGAGATATATATATATGACACACTTGAGTATTTTGCTTTTTATATTTTTCGATGAAACACATGACATTTTGAATTGTTTAAGTTTCTATTTAAGTATCAAAATCAGTTATGCAAACTAATTGTTTTTCAACATTTTGCTGTATTATCACAACAGTATCTCTAAACGCTTTTGAATCGAATACTACTATGTAGCCAGTTTACTCTTGTACCACAGCTCCTACGAAGACACATTTCAAGAATCGTGTAAATAAAAAATAAAAATATAGCTATTAATATAATTTTAGTATGCTAAAAAAAACCCCTAACTGGGAAGTTTGAAATCTGTTGGTTAAGTTCCACATGTTTATAATCATATATCAGAAAATCATATATAATTGGAGCTGCACAGAGCACATCCACTAAAGGCGAATCAAATGCAAAGAAGTAAGGAGAGAGATTGGGGAAAGACGAGGAACTTCTCCACGACAACGACCTCTTCTCTTTCTCCACCGTTGAGTTCTCGGGCGCATGGGTCCCACAGGTGAGTTCACAGGAAGCCCACTCAGTTAGCATATCCCGTGGGGCCCTCACTTTCTCTAGTCTTTGGACACTTCTACTTTCGGACATAATGCTTCTTTATTACTTTTGTTTTAATTTCCCTCCCCGATCAAAATCGTTAACAGCTTCATTCCAAAGTTTTGGAATCACCTCTCTTCAATAATTGACACACCCCCCCCTTTTTTTTTTTTGTAATTTCTACTTTTCTGCTGCCATTTTAACCAATTGATATCGAGGAGGGCGTTGAATGACAATTGTGTTTCTTTCATAACAAACAACAAAAAAGGAAATGGATAATTTACTCATTTCACATGTATATTATTCGAACATGATAATTATTCAAAGGTTCAGGATAGTCTGCCAATGAAAATTAATATGATTTTAATAGCTCATCTGTTAGGTGGACCGTATGATGTAAAAAGCTGACGGTTGTCTGAATATATAATGGAGGTGTTCATTGGTCGTTCGATCAATGCTTATCGAATTCTAATTTCAATGTAAAGGTTATCTTCTTGTAATTTTAGTGTCTGAACCAGAACTTTAAATTTGACTTCAGTTATATTCAAATGGCAAATAGTATTTAGGTGAACCATTGAATTTGTGGCAAAATAAAACCAGCTATTTCGCAATTCACACTAATTGTATTATGAAGTCAGTATCAAAGTGAAGAACAAACATAGGCCATGCTATCAATTTAGAATGGGACCCAAACAAATCAAAGATAGAAATGGTTATGGGGAAAAATCGTCGATTACATCTTGAGCCTTTTGGTGCACATGGAACCGTGAACCGTACAATCAAAGGAGGACCCACCCACCCACTTGATTCTCATATATACTATTCATTTTATTTAAACCAATTTGTATGTTTGACACACATCATCTTGTCTACGTACATACACTGATACACATATATAATACAGTATACGTTAGGGAAGAACAACAAATAATAACCAACGTAACGTATCTACTACAATACGTACATGCATTTATAATTTTGGTCGCACGTGTGATTTGTAGAGAAATATTGGCCGTGTACCATGTTTGGTAACTGCCGTCCACTTGCGATTCCGCAACCTTCGGGAGCCAAAATTTCGAAATTAATGAAGTAGGTGCCGCGTTTCTTACTAGATTTGTAATTAGAGGTTAGTTTTTTTCCTCTCTTAAGCTCAACTTTAGAATTTTAATCAACGACTAAAACTCTATTTTCAATTATGATAAAATAGTCTAAAAGTAATTAGAGTTGATGTAACACATGAGATATGAAAGAAAAACAACTCATACTAGTCCTGTCCTACTACACTAACGACCAGAGCAGAATGCGCACATTAATCATACATGAAAAGTCAAATTAAAAATCATTTTGGTAACAACACAACTTGGAAAAAGAAGCTAATATTTAAAAACTTGGAGAGAAAAAAAAAAGAAACAAATTAGCTAAACGAACAAAATATATTAATTGAGATCAAACTTTCACGTGATAAAAAAAGCTAATCGACGGCTTGGATTGTTTTTCGACAACCTTCCTCTATTAAATGACCTCACCTGTGTGTATATAATGCAGCGTCTTCACTTCTCATCACCAGCTCATAATAAATCTGGAGAAAAACAAATCTCGATATTTTCTTCTCTTTCGATCGTAGAAAACAAACCTAAGGGTCTCCGAAACCAATCGAGAAAACTATGCTTCTACGGAGCGCGTCGACGCCAGTTCTCAACTCGTTGGTTCATGTCTCGAGTCCAAGGGAATCTCCAGTCGAGGCCGAATCTGTTCATCAGATTCAACGGCCCAGATCACTGAAGCTCTCCGCGTCTCCCTCTTGCTGTTACAGCCCGATGTCTGTGCACTCCAGCGACGAATCTACGAGGAGGATGAAAAGGACGGCGTCAGAGAGCGATCTACGGCATCTGACATCGACGAAGCCATCGAGTAAGTTCCTCAGCGGTGCTCTGATGGAGGACGTCGAAGAAGGAATCGGATTCGGCCTTCTGCGCACGTCGTCTTACGATGGTGACTTAGGGTTGAGTTGGGGATTGGAGGATGATACTGAGGTTAGTGGCGGTGGTGGTGGGAAGATTCACGGCGGAGGAAAGGGAAGAAGTGGCGGCAGATCGGAGAGTGGTGATGGAGACGGAGGCAACGATAGCACAGATGTTCACTATCGCAAGATGATTGAAGCAAATCCTGGAAACGGGATTTTTCTCAGCAATTACGCCAAATTCTTGAAAGAGGTAACAATTTTTTTTGTTCCCTTCCCTCCTCCTTTCTAGATCTGAAAGTGAATTTTTCCGGGAGGATTGTGATTCATGAATTATCAAAATGGGGTGTTGAATGTTATTGTGCGTCTTTGATTGAAACAGGTTCGAAAAGATTACTTGAAAGCAGAGGAATATTGCGGGAGAGCTGTTCTGGTGAACCCTAACGATGGGAATGTTCTGGCCATGTACGCGGAATTGGTGTGGACGATCCATAAGGATTCATCTCGTGCTGAGTCGTACTTCAATCAAGCTGTTGCAGCTGCTCCTGATGACTGGTAAGAAAGATTCTTTAACTTACTTACTTACCAAAAGCTCTCTTCTTTTGGGAGATTTGAAGAGTTGGTTAGTTGTGGCTTTTGTGCTTATGTGTTGTACATGTTGTTTCTGCAGTTATGTGCAAGCTTCATATGCTCGATTTCTTTGGGATGCTGAAGAGGAAGATGAAGGGGAAGAGGAGGAGAAGGAAGAGAGACACCAACAAGAGCTTGAGCCTCAAACTTCTCGGATGAATTTCTTCACGGGACCTTCTCCAATTACGGCCATGTCTTAACTCATTCCCTCGGCATCTCCCTTTTTATAGATTTAGATAAAACGTGCGTGTGTCGTCTATGATCTATCTAACCCTTTTTTGTTTAATGTGAATTCTTTATTGTTGCCTTTTCATGGGTATTTCTCTTTGCTCAGTGTTAAGAATTTGTCTCAGTTGTAGTAGTAATACCACTGGAAGTAAAATAAGACATGGAATGAAAAAGTTTTGCTTTTTGATTGGATGTAAATAAATTGGGGCTTTTGGTATTTTCTTGACACAATATTGCAGTGTGATCTTTGAGACAATCGAGCGAAATTCAGATTTCAGATTTCAGGGTATCTGATTTTTAGATGAAAGTGAGTGGTCTAGAATTGAGCCACATACACACCAAAGCCTATTACAGTGGAGAACAACCATGAAGATGACTGCTAGTTTGTGATAAGAGTGATGATTCTAGATCCTTCTTTAGTTTGTCCTCTTGATGATGCAGGAACCAATTTGGTGCCATCACCTTAATGATATCAATGAAGTTTAATCATTCCAGAGGCTAAGAATGGTCGTCATGAGTACGATTCGGCACTTTCCCAACTTAACCTTGCTTCCAAGTTCCAACCATCCATCATGTCAGAGTGGAACGCAGGCAGGGTCTGCTCACACAGTGCAGCAATAATTTATGATCCATCCTATGTTGACATCATTTTAATTGAACCTATTTTAAACAGAATAATTTAAAACTCTGATTTTGATAAGAAGGGAAAAGCTCTTTTTTATATGTTTGTTTTAGATTCAGTTTTTGTATGTGATAGGGCCTTTTTGATTACTAGAGCAGGCTAATCACCGAGTATAGGTATGTGATTTTGCTGCATTATACAAATGACTCGTAGAAACAGTTCTTGCAATGAAAAAAAAGCAGAAGTGAGTCAAGGGTGATTGAACCGACTAAGATCCAAGAGCTCCGATGGCAATGCGAATCGCGCCACAGTAAAAGGGGAACAAGAGTAGCAAAGTTGGAGAGCCGTGATCAAGCATGATCTAACCTCTTACTCCTAAACTTTAAATGTCAAACCTGAATGCGTAAACTCATTAAAACTAAAGTAATATCAAAAGCTAAACATAAGTTTTGTCCCCAAAAAAAGCTACGTCTAAGTAATAATTAAAGCCTTTGGGAGGAACAAAGGTGCTTTTCTTATGGTACGAAGTGTGACTTTGGAGGATCAGAGGACAATTTTACTGTAAGTCATTTTTCCCTTCGGAACAATCATCTACTCTCTGTAAAATGGTTGGTTGGATTGTTTTGGAGTTTTGATCTGTTTTTGGCATCCTTGGGTGAGAATGAGATGTTTTTTGTTTATTTTAACCCTTATAAAGTTTGAGTAAAAAAAAAAGAAGTAAGATTTAAAGCCTGTTTTTCATTTTTTTTTTGTTTACAGATTTTATTCCCCAATAATCTCAATTGATAAGGATTGTATTGGTTATTTACTTCCAGTTTTCCTGATTATTTGGAAAACCTTTCTTAAAAAAAATAAAAATAAACAAGAGAGAACCAGAAGCCTTTGACTTTAAAAGAGAACTCCATAATAATTCTCCGGTATATTTCTTCTCAAAATAACGAGAGGGAGAAACGATTTATTTATAGACTGGTAAAAAATTGAGAAAAAGGAACACTGAAACAAAGAGAGAGAGAGCCATGGCCAGTGAAGGAGAAGCGACCTTCTCTGCGGCGGCTGCGATGTCGAGCGAGGCGCCGAGAGGTACAGGTGGCAAATTGATGCGGCAACCCGCGAGGAGGCATCGGGCAACGCCGTATTCTCGGCCGTGGATCTCGAGAATCGTCGATCCTGCTTATCGGATTATTTCCGGCGGCGCCACGAGACTACTTCCCTACTTCTTCTCGAATGCAGCCTCCGCTCCTGCTCTTACAGCTCCTGACGATGAAAATCAACATCAAGGTTTTTTTTTCCGCTCTTTCCCGCTTCGTCTAAGGCTTCTCTTCCTCGGAATTTCTACTGTTTTGGGGGTTGATTACATCAGCTTAGCTCTATATGATTGTATTTCCGCAATTCAGTTTCGTTGATTTACGAGTATCTAGGGTTTTTCTGTTTCTGCTAGAAATTGTTTCGTCGCTAGAAATCAAAAGCTATAGTCACCAGGATAGATAGATGAGTAAAAGGCTTTTCTGTTTGCGTTTCGTTCATGACTCTAATGGTCAAGTATGATGGTTGGTTTGAACTACAGTTATCTCACCTTTTGGGGATTTTCTTTTACAATTTAGTTATTAGTCCAGAGATATGAGTTATCCCTGCTTCTGGTTGTCTACTATAGTCTTATGGATTTCGTTTAAGATGTCATTGTTAACATTTGGCCCTCTTTTTCTACTAGATGAATCGGAGGATGATGAACAGGAGAATGATACCAGTATAACACCAAGTTTGAAGGTAAGCGTCTTTCTCAACTCCTCTGTCTTTTCTTAGTCTCTGATTGGGAAAGTACCGCTTTAGCTAAGCTGTTTTTTTGTCCTTGCTAAAGTTTTTTTTCTTTGTTTGCCATGTACTATATTATCAACTACTTGTCTAAATAGCAACCAACATCTATAAGCATTCTTTATCATGATGAAATCTTAAGCAGATGGGTTTTTTTTTGCTATCTTTGACTCTTTGTGCTTGGCTGTCTGTCAGAATTTCTTTTCATTGATTTCTCAATGGATATACATGGATCTCTAAATCTGTTACCAATGTATTCTTCGATAAGAAACTGTTATTCTCTTACCGGGATGTTTTATATAGGAACTGATGAATGGGATAAAGAACGCGTTATCAGAGAAAACAGTCATGATATAAAAGTATAAAAAGTGGTCTTTGTACAACCTAAGAATGGTATAATCTTACCGTGACATGAGTTGGAACGTTCTCTTGATTTGACATGAATAACACAATTGATTTCTCCTGCTATCCACACTCTCTTCATTTAATGCCTGCTTTTGTGATTTTGCAATAGATGGCATACATCGTTTTCCCCTTTATATGATTCGATCAATTTTGCAGAAACCGGAGTCAGCATTCATCGAAGAGGGAGGTACTAGTGGCACAGCGAACGTGAGCGAAAGCAATTTCAATATTAGTGCACAGACGATAGGCAATATAGCTTTAAATGATGTAGTTCCGATCTCGGAGCTTGAAAAGCTAATGGAAGGAAAAACGTTTTCACGGTATGTTATTTATTATCATGTTTGAAAGTTAGTTGCATTTCATATGATACTTGATGGAAACTTGCTTCATTTAGCTTGTTATTTTGTTAACTCTTATAGTCATGTCTGGGTCATTAGATTCTTATTGACTGGCTGCTCATCTTTCCTGGACTTCCTATCTTTCTTTGCAGTTCTGTTTGTATTTATTATTTAATTACATAGATGACTTTTACATTGACATATTTTAATCTCCATTCAGGGCGGAAACTGATCGTCTCATAGAGATAATAAATTCAAGGGCTATTGATCGACCTGATGTGACGAGAGACGAGAGAATAGAGATCCCTTTGAGAGAGGGAGCCATCAGTTTTCTTGAGAAGAGAAAAGAGCCCATTGGGGGAAGGGATGCTAGTAGTGAATTTTGGGCTACACCAACCCCTCTTGCCCAGTCAACAGTGAGTTGCTTGCTATCCACCCTTTTTTTGTTTGGATCCTTTAATGAAATTAGCCATTTACATGGGTTGATCAAGCTATTCCACTTTACCGGATAATTTAAAAGGTTAGTTTGGCAGACTTTAGGAGTAATATGGGGTGTAAAATTTGAAGTTATGTAGGAATCTGGTCTGTGTGAGGCTGGGCTATCTGTGAAGTCATAAGAAGAAATAGATAATTAGGAAGAGCTTAGTAATTTCACATATTTGCGTCATCAAAGAGTTGATGTTTCTTACTTCACTACTCCTTATTCCTGTAATTATTTTAATATACTCAAGTTTTTCTCTTTTCCTTTTTTTTAATAGATTTTTGAAGAAAGCAAACAGGTGCAGGATGAAGCTGGTCTATCACCGGCAGAACTTGCCAAGGCATATATGGGAGGCCAGACATCATCAAGTAGTTCCAAACGTTTTGTAGCAAGAAATGGAAAGAACTGTTTAGAGGGGGGTATGCTTGTAGCAAATTCTTCTTTTGCATCACCATCAAGCAAACCTTCCGCATGTTGGCCTGGTGTGAAGTTAAATGAGCAATGTGGTTTTGCAACTCCTCAAAGCCAACGAGAAAACTTTGGGCTTCAAAATTTTCCAAGGACCCCAAATCCTAGATCCATCCTTTCAAGCTCTAAGTCACAGGTGTGTGGAGTTTTTCTTAAGACCTTTTTGCTCAAAGATTTTTGGTATATTTGAACTATTCCTTTTTTTGTCTGGCTCAGTTGATGCAATTGCAAGACAATAGTAGCAAGCGCCTGAGCACCCTCCAGTCTCCCTCTCAAAGTGTGCAGTCAGGATATGGCCAGGTAAACTCCCACTGGGATATATAATTCTGATTACCTGTGAAGTTTATAACATAGTGTGCACTTACTATTTATTTTTGTTCACTTAAAGGCAATCTAAATGAAAATATTGTATTCTGCCCGAATGTGTTGGAATCCTGTCAGTGTCCAAGTCACCGTAGAAGACTTTCCCTTTGCATTTCAGTAATATATTATTTTTAGTCCAATTGTATTGTAGTTTTTCAGAATTTGTGTCCAAGTTGTTCCGCCAACAAATGGTCTGAAACATTCATTTTCTGTCGACCGCCTCTCTATCTCACGGTAGATGTTAGTGATTACCACTAGATTGATAAAATCGTTGTCCATTGGCTTAAGCATTGGTGTTGACTTGTTATCTAATGTATACTTAAGGATGTGAAACAATAATAGGGTAGTTGATGTGATTGAGGCAACAGAAAAATAGATCGTGTATGCAGATGACTAAATTGTGGACATCTTTGCCTCGACTTTACTGGTGTTGTTTTTGTTACACAATCATAATGTTGATCTTCTAGTTCTTGTTCACATTTTGCAAAACTTGATTCTAAACTAGAGTCATCACTATGCTGCCTTTTTGAAAATCTTTCTTGGATTCCTCGTATCTGCTGAGTCCTATTTTCTTTGTTGAAACCTGATAAATTCACTTCCTAATGTGCCCAGCTCAAACTTAGCAACGGAAGGGATGGTGGACTTTTTGGACCCAGTAGAAGATCTCGCCAGAGCGCCACAATGTCTCCATATTCACGACCTTTAAGTGGCACATCTCGTTTAGAAAATTCTGCCGTCAAGAAGAGCTCTGAGGCAGGGGAATCAAGTAGGCTATCTAGGTACCAGACAACAACTTATGGTAGGGATAAAGGGTCAGAAGTTGGTACCCCAACTGTGCATGCACATTCTAGTCAGATTGCTAGAACGATATTGGATAACCTTGAACGGAATCAGCCCACCCCGAAAGAAAAATCTGCTGAGTTGAAGCTTGCCACTGCTTGGAGACATCCACAGTCTTCGAAAATTGTTGAACAAAGCAGCTCGAACATCAACAATGTGAAAAAGGATGGCTCAGCCAAATTGAATGAAGATATCCCCAACATCTTCTCTCACAATCCGCCGTCCTCTGTGCCTAAACTTTCTGCAGTTACCACTGCTGACACTCAAAATGCAATGGCCAAAACTGCTTCAGCATCAAATGGAATATTTTTTGGCAGCAGTAGTGGTACCACACTCCAATATGAGTTAGGGAAGCCTAAGGGCTCTCTTTCGGGAAGCACACATGACAAGGTATTTTGAGCACCTGCCTTCTTTTTCTTAACGCATATTGCATGAGGGCTTTGAGGTTTTGACTTTTTGAGTGTGAATAACCTCAGTATACTCCCTAACTCAAGGATTGCGACTTAAAAACAATCTAGATCTCTTTGGAAACTGGATATACTTCTAACAGTCGGTAATTTAGTGGTAACCAATATATATCATTGTTGAGAGCTTTGAGTTATGATAGTTGTGGAAAACTGAATTGCAGTGTGTCACTTCTTCTCAGGACGGTACAAAAGCAGCTCCGTATACTTTTGGAGGCGATCCCGCGAATCTCCCGAAACCACCATCTCATTCAATGGGGAATAATAATAAACCGGCACTGCCATCGATCTCAGTATCCAAGCCTTACCAAAAATGGGCAGCTCCTTCGGGTCCAAACGCTAGCTTCACATTCCCGGTCTCTTCATCTGATGGAGCAACGTCGTCAGAGCCCACAACTCCATCCATCATGCCATTCACAACAAGCCCAGCGCCAATCGGTGGTGTTGCCATTACAAGTCATCATGAAGCAACAATTACAAAAAATGAAGACATTCCTCAGTTTGGTTTCGGCGGCAGGCGAGGAGATAAGTTGCCTCTGGTCTTCGCTTTTCCCTCTGTGAGCGAAGAAGTGATCAACGAGGATGATGAGAAGCTAGGTTTCGAATTCACATTTGGGTCTGAAAAGCCAGAGAGAATATCGTTCAGCTCAGCAGGAAATGATGGTGTTTGTTGTTAAAACAAGGACGATGGTTTCTGTTTGTTTTTTTTTCTCTATTTTTCCAAAAATTTTTTTGTCTAAGATTGTTTTTTGTATTTTTACTTTGGGAGTAGAACTCTGTGCTTAGAAACATGTTGTGTTTTGAGCTGTATTCATTGAAGATGATTGATTTCTTTTGTGTCTGATTTAAGAAGAGGCAATGGATTTTGTTCCTTCGGGAGAGGTGGATCCAATAAAAATAAAATGCAAATCGAGGTTTAATAGTTTTTCTTTCAGTCGAAAAAGTTCAAGAAATTAATTTTCTATCGTTTAACTTTGCCATAATCATGGAGAGAGTAAAACGTATGCCACGTAGGATCGTCCACACACAATCTCGAAGAAGCAAAGCAAAGTAAAGCTTCTTGTCTTTTTTTTCCCAGACGAACACTCGTGTGTGGTGGTGAGTGCTCTTCTTGATCTTCCTTTGAGTTTTTTTTTCTGTCTTGGGCTTGTTCTCTCCCCATGTGCTCGATTTATGCTGGATTTCTGGTTTTGCAGCCACAACGGATAAGGAAGAAGACCCCATTTCTGTTTCTTGTCAATCCCAACACAAAATTTGCCTTCTTCCCTCGCGCGATTTCTTCTTCGGACAACGATGGCTCAGTTTCATCCTCCAGACAAAACAACGTATTACTATTACCTTCTCAGTCTCTTTGAGAATTGTATACTATTTCAAACTATATCACGTTCACATTGATGGAGTTTTTTTTTTTTTGCGCTGGCTTTGAATTAGCGACAAATGGGATATGATCCTTCAGAGGAACTGTTTGGTGATGATTTCAAGCCCAGGTTAGATATTCCGTAACTCTCTCTCTCTCTCTTTTTTAAATGATGTCGATTTTTCTGTCCTTTTGTTCTTCAATTGAAATCCTGTAATCGCTCTACCACCTTGAATCCGGATTCACTGTTCTCCGAGCTCTGTTGATATTGCATTTCCTTAAGCTTTGTTAGTACTTAAGCGAGATGTTGAGGGAACTGAGAGAGAGAGAGAGATTTTCGGATACTAAACGAAGGTTAACGTTTTAGTATATATAAAGATGAGGTCTCGTTTTTGAGACTCATCCAAGCTTTGACACCCCTATCTTTTATTTATACCAAAACGCAATCTAATACATAATTTGACTCAACTTCAAAAATGTGCTTTTGGTGATGGTTTCTTCAGGAACGTGTCTGGTGATTCTCGTGAACCAAGGTCGTGGTTTGGTCCCAACGGTCAGTACATTCGAGAGCTTCCGTGTCCTACTTGTAGAGGAAGAGGTTATACGTCATGCTCAAATTGCGGAATCGAGAGGTCACGGTTGGATTGCCCTCAATGCAAAGGAAAGGTACTTAAGAGGGTTAGATGTCTTCAAACTTTTGAGTAACAAAACTGTTTTTCCTCGTTATATAATAACTTTGCTTAAATTTGCGTAGGGCATAATGAGTTGTCTAAGATGTTTGGGAGATTGTGTCATATGGGAAGAATATATCGATGAACGACCTTGGGAGAAAGCTAGATCCAGGTAATGTTATTCAAGAGTTGTTGACATCTCAATTCTGTTTTATTGTTGACTAATAAATCACTTCATTTTTTCTTCCGACTCAGTTCTCCATTCAGAGTAAAGGAAGACGATGAGGTTGATAATTTGGAGATAAAGTTCAGTAGAAGGGGAAAGTCGAAGCGGGTTTATCAGTCACCGCCTCCTGAAGTTGGACAAAAGATCAGCCGATCCCTAAAAGTTAGTTTCATATATTTTTCATGATAAATTATATCCTCTCCACAGGGGATGGTTATAGTCAGTTTAAAATTTGATTTTACAGAGCCTCAATGCCAAGACCGGACTTTTTAGTAAGCGAATGAAGATTATACATCGTGATCCCGTGCTTCATGCTCAAAGGGTAGCTGCAATCAAGGTCTCTTCTCAACTCCATTTTGTTTTCACATGGAGCAACTTTTTTGTATTTCTTTCCTTGAACCTGCTTAGTGTTGTTGTGCTCTAGAAAGCTAAAGGAACACTAGCCGCTAGAAAGCATGCATCCGAGTTTATGAAAACTTTCTTCAGTAACCCTGAAAACCGTGAACAGAGGAGCTTATCCATGAAAGGTAAATCTCTGTTTACCTTCTCTAATAATATGTGATGGATTAGGTTGTTGGATAACATTGGCACTGAACATTCTTGTTAATGTGAGATATCATATTGTTTCAGCAAATGGAAACGAAGTTTAAATTTACTTTATTGTTGTCATGGAATGGTAAATAATCATCTTCTACTCTCATTGGATCAGGAATTAAATTCTACTGCAAGAACTGCGGACAGGAAGGTCACAGACGCCATTACTGTCCAGAGCTGGACAGTAATGCGGACAGAAGATTTAGATGTCGGGTTTGTGGAGGGAAAGGCCATAACCGAAGAACCTGTCCTAAGTCGAAATCGATGGTCACTAAAGGCATTTCCACAAGGAATCACCGATGTGGAATTTGCGGTGAGAGCGGCCACAACAGTAGAACATGCCGGAAGCTGGCCAGAGTGAAACCCAGTGACCATGCTGGTGATTCCGGGGAAGATGATTCTGGTAAGAGAGGGTATGCTTGTGGGTTCTGCAAGAAAAAGGGACATAATGTAAGAACCTGTCCAAGTAAACGAGTTTCAGACAGTGATTCTTGTTTAGAGGAAGAAGGTTCTTGATCATGTTTTTTGTTAGGCTTCGTTTTGAAATTACTTACAGGTCCTTCTTAGGCAATGGGTATTTCGTATCAGTATCAAACATGGGTCCTTGATGATCAGATCTTTGCCAACTTCCCAACGAAAAAAAAACTAATTGTAAATGCCAATGGATATTAATTTTTGATTTCCACATTGTTAAACTTTCTTACATTCAAGAATTTGATTCGAACCGAACGATAAATTGGTAATATAATATAATTTGAACTAGGCCATGTACAATTGCCTCTACCGACATAAACGGTATAAATACTGAACATCTAATACTCCTTCAGTTTTATAATAAGTGTTATTTTGGAAAAATGTATCTGCATTATAACTGGATATATTATGACACTTATTATGAAACACTTATTATGAAACAGAGAAAGTATTAGTTTTATCCAAACATTTGCACTCTCCGATAACCGATTCCTCCATGTCGGTTGTTTAGTTTTACCATCGTTATTATTAAGAGGATGTTGAACACACATTGTTATAATCAAAAGGCAAAAAGAAACCAGTCACGTTTTCTTACTAGATCAAATTTAGGAACGGAAAACACTCTACGCGTTAAAAATAACAAACAATTATATGGGAAAAGACAAAAAAGTAAGCAGATAAGATTGACCAAATGTTTGTAATACGATCCAAGATGGATTGATTCAACAACTACCACAGACATCACGTACGCGTCTTGGCGTATCTTGCGTTAATGATCCTTAAGAAGCTCTATATGTCCCTATAAATATAAGTCTCTCTTTTACGACTTTTGAGCCACAACACACAAAATTCAAAAGGGTCATTAAAAGTCTTTTTAAAGACAAAACATATCAAGTTATCGACCAAGAAAATAAGAAAAGGGGGGGTGACCTGAGGTGTTTCAGCACAACACAAACACAAACACAAAAATGGCCGGAGTTTTCAAAACGGTGACGTTTATGGTTTTGGTTTTCGCTGCGGTTGTTTTCGCCGAGGACTACGATGTTGGTGATGATCTCGAATGGACGAGACCTACCGATCTCGAGTATTATACTACTTGGGCTGCCGGTAAAACTTTCCGTGTAGGCGACGAGCTTGGTGAGTTTGATATGCTATCTTTGTTTTCTGTTTCACTCTATCTTAAGGGATCGTACATGCATGGATTGATGATGTCAGTGATTGTTAATTGTTATGTTATGTCTTTGTTTCTATCTCTCTTGAAAGTTTATTATTCGCAGAGAGATCAAATTTGTTTAAAAGTATCCAATGAAATAACACTGTCACGCTTTTATATTTATATTTTTGTAAGATAAATATTTTTCTTAGAAAAAACCGAAAAATTAGAAATTTGCTATACAACTCGAACTTTTCATATACACAACCACAACTAACTTACCAACTTAATTTGTCCTCATCTTGTAAATCATATTTGAATCGGAAATATTGATTAGGACATCACCCAAGAGTGTTTAACTATATGTGCATCATTTTCTACATTTTATTTTTATAATAACAAGTTTAAATTGTTTTGGATGTTGTTATTATCACAGAATTTGATTTCCTAGCTGGGAGACATGATGTGGCACTTGTAAGCAAAGATGCATATGAAAACTGCGAGAAAGCGAAACCAATCCGCCTCATGACGACTCCTCCGGTCAAAATCATGCTAAACACCACCGGACCACAATACTTCATCTGTACCTTCGGTGACCATTGCCGCTTTGGTCAAAAACTTGCCGTCGATGTAGTCGGTGCTGGTGGTGCCACCACCCCAGGAGCTGGATCAACAACCCCAGGTGCTGCGGGAACCCCTCCCACCACCCCAGGAGCCGGGACCACCACTACTACTACCACACCTCCGGCTGGAAGTGCCGCTTCTTCTTTAGGTGGTGCGACGTTCTTGGTCGCCTTTGTTTCTGCTGTTGTTGCTCTGTTCTGAGTTTAGACTCCGAATGTTGAATTCATCAGTTTGTGTTTGTTTCAGCTTGCTTATACGTTTAATTTTATAATCAGAATAAGACTTGTCAAACGTTTTAAGTGGCGGAAAATATTACGTTCTACCAGTTCTATGATTAGTATCAGTTTCCCATATATCTAATCGTTAACATAATCTAACATAATGACAGAAATCTGAAAATCTTTCATTGTAACCCTATTTTTATCTCCCTCGCACTCAACCGCTCTCTCTCTCCACTCGCTTGCAAAGCTGATGTCTAAAATTTTCCGGTAAATGAGTTACGTCGACTTCGGTTAATTAAACGTTCTCGACCGGATTGTTCTTAATTTGGTTAACATAAATATCACATACATGGTCTATGGCACACAAAGTACTAAAATAGTACTACACAAACTTCAACAAGAACTTGACACGTGTCTGATTGACGTGAATCAGAAAACCATAAACTTGTTATGTTTTCAATAAAACCAATGACATTTTTTTCCATAATAATTTAGCTAGGCATGATAACTTCCAAAGGTTATACCAAAGTCTTTGGTAATTGCACTGCTCCTTTCCATTTTTTTTATTTCTTCAATCTGGATTCAACTTTTAATATATATATTTCATTTCATTTACTTCTTTGTCAACATGATATCTTCATATTTTAATAATTTACTGAGTTTGAGTTTGATTAATATAGTGTAGCTACGATATTCGATAAGACCTATATATGACTAGAGTTCTTGAAATAGAAAGTCTTGGAATTACAAAAGTAAGAACCTGTAAAAAAAAGAGTAGATCTAATTTCTACAGAGCTTTTGGTTTAAAATTTACATAGTTGTAATTTGTAAACCTTCCGTTGCTTCCATTTAATTCAAAATTAATCTGCTACATAGACAAAATATGGAGATTGATTTGCAAAAGTATTCATAGGAAAACTGATCTTTTTAGATATCTTTTTTTTCTTCTTTTTTAATTTCAAATTAATCTCAGTCTACAGTTCATTGAAGAAAACATACTATGGAAAAGACCAGCGGTTAAAAAACGACACCTGAGCCCATCAAGAGATAGAGACAGAGATTATCAAATCAAATGAAAGCAATAAACATCAATCACAGGCAAAGAGTGTTAAGCAAATTAACTAATTTTGTTTCAACTTTATTTTTTTATTACGTTACTTCAAAGTTTTTTTTTTCTATTTCTTTTTGGTAGTGTAAAAAAAGGAGAGAGAATAGAGTTAGCTATGACTATGTGTAATAAGAGAAGCACAAAAACAAGCCTTCCATGACTGTGCCATCAAGAAAGTAGCTTTGTTTTCCATCCCAAACTGTCAAAAGTCTCTCTTCACCTATAGCTTAAGTAAACACTTTCTCTATCTCTCTCTCTCATCAATGTTCCTTTGAGATCAATGCTCCTCCTCTTCTTCTTCTTTTTCATATAAACCACATATCTTCCACTCCGCATCTTAACAAATTTCACAGCAAACCCTAAAATTGAGAAAGAGAAAAAAAAAGATAGAGAGAGAAAGATGGGTAGAGGGAAGATAGAGATAAAGAGGATCGAGAACGCAAACAATAGAGTTGTGACGTTCTCGAAGAGGAGGAATGGGTTGGTGAAGAAGGCGAAAGAGATTACAGTTCTTTGCGATGCAAAAGTTGCTCTCATAATCTTTGCAAGCAACGGCAAGATGACTGATTATTGTTGTCCTTCCATGGATCTTGGTGCTATGTTGGACCAATATCAGAAGCTATCTGGCAAGAAACTATGGGATGCTAAACATGAGGTACTCACTTTTCTTTTCATAAACTAAAGTTTCTTTGTCTCAAAAATATTCTATAGCCAAAATCATGAAATGGGGTTTTTCAATTTCTTTGCCAAAAACATGTCAAAAGACCCTTGTATCTTCAACCCTAGACGCAGATCTATATAGTGTTTTGTCTCAAAAACAAATATTCTGTGCTAAATATCATGAAACGGGGTTATTTAATTTTCTTTGCCTAAAATATGTCAAAAAGAAAAACCTCGAGCCCTAGATGCAGATCTACAAAGGTTTCTTTGTGTGCGTAGCCTTCCAAGCCTCTTTATTGATTCTCTTGTACTCAACAAGACATGAAGCCTCAAAACATGGAAGTTATTCTCTTCTTTTCCATTGTTTTTTTTTATATTCGTGCTTAATTTTGTAAGATCTTCGATAAATTCTAGAGTATATCTAAACATGTATGCACCAACTGTGTTTTGAAACCACCAAGGCAAAATTTTAAGCGAGTTAGATCCATAAAGTAATTCCATTTTTAAAATTATTGGGTTACTGAGGGAAAATCTGGGATGTGATGTTTATGAGAATGTCTGAACAGTTTACTGATGATTTTATATTTGTGGCTTTCAAAACTAATTAAAAGCTGGGAAAGTACTGTTGATTACACTTTTTTAAGTTAGATTTAATCCAAATATTATACATTATTAATTAGTTCTGACAATCATAGGTTCAAATAAGATATATCTCTATACAGTAAGAAACATACAGAGGGTTGTATACCATTTAAGTCACTGCCAAGTAGTATATGAGTATACTTTTTACACATAGGATGTCAACAACATATATACATTTTGTGCATGAAACATGGTAACCAGATCTGTTTCTCCAAAACACTTCAATATTTTTTTTCAGATATGTTTATGTTTTACTGTATAGATAAGTGAAATTTTTTGTTAGATCTAAATTCTTAAAAACCATATATTCCTCATCTAATACATACTTATGCTGAACAATTTTGGTCATCAGAACCTCAGCAATGAGATAGATAGGATCAAGAAAGAGAATGATAGCTTGCAGCTGGAGCTCCGGTCAATCTTCATCCTTCACTGCCACATATATAGATAAAATGTGATCAAAATTGTGTTCAAATATCAACATAAATGTGATGCATAGCAAAATTGTGAATACAGGCATTTGAAAGGGGAAGATATACAGTCTCTCAACTTAAAAAATCTGATGGCTGTAGAGCATGCCATTCAACACGGCCTAGACAAAGTCCGAGACCACCAGGCATGTTATACATCTCTACATGCATTCATAAGCATGTATATGTTTGCATATATAAATACATTCTCACACTTAAACTCTTATTTTGGTCTCTGCTTGGCACAGATGGAGTTTCTCATGACAAAGAGGAGAAATGTGAGCATAGAACCAAATTTCTACTTTACTATATAATTAGCTTTCGAAGTTATATGTATTAATGCTTACTTCAAACAATTTTTGTGGCAGGAGAAAATGATGGTGGAGGAAAATCGGCAACTCAGTTTCCAGCTGGTATATATTAATAAATTATAGTCTTTAGCGTATGATTTGGTTTGAAACTATATATTATTATAGTTTTGTGTGTTTGATATATAAGGATATGGTTTGGAAATTGCAGCAACAACAGGAGATGGCTATAGCTAGCAACGCGAGAGGAATGATGATGAGAGACCATGATGCGCAATATGGATACAGAGTGCAGCCGATTCAGCCAAATCTTCAGGAAAAGATTATGTCTCTGGTCATCGATTGATCATGCGATCGAGATTTGCAATCTCATCACCAATATTCTACTATCTATTTCGTGGTCCTTTAGTTTGTCTTTATGAACCTGTGTGTCCTTTTAATCTCGAGCCATATATACTCTCTTGCTATCTGAATTAACCGTAAGCTATATGTGTGTTGTTTGGCTTATGAACTCGATCCATGTATTGTATTGGTTATGTTGTGTGTGCTAAAAGGTTTGAAACTAATTGCATTTGAGTAAAAACTAATTATCCCGTGTTAAGCTATATATACATGAATCGCGATTTATGAAGGAAATTCAAAAATAATGTGTTATGGACCATTAGGTAGATAGGTCCTTGAACACAGCAACACGAGTCGTGTAAGTTCAGGTCTAGATAATAACTATATTAAAACCTCGTCATGCATTCACCTCAACTGATCGATTTTTGCAGAATAAACTTCTTTTTTTTTTTGTGTCTTCCGTTTTCGTAAAACCGCACATGACATCTTTACTGGTTTGTAACGAGAATCAATCAATGTATAGAATTGCGTACCCTAATAATTTTATGTGCAGATTCTCGGAAATGAGAATTACACTAAACTAAACAGTATCTGACATCCCCTTAGCGGCAAAGTCATGCATGAGGTGAACCATTGGGTCCAATTTTCCAATCTTTTTTCTCATATGAAATAAATAAATACTAGAAGTTATTATTTTTTTTTTTTCCCAATCACTGTCTGAACAAATCACTCGTTGCAAGCGAATTATTTATCGCCGGATATATCATTTTCTGTAATTATGAGTATTATCAATTGCGACCAAAGATACAACAACAAACATCAAAATATTATTCATTTTCGTGTAGTACTCTCTCTCTCTCTCTCTCTTTTTATTTGATAAAAATGACATATTTTCTATAGAATTATGGAAATTCGTGGGCCCATGCAGCCGCACAATCAACGATATGATATCTGTTGAAGCAAGTTGAACAACGAAGATAATTGGGTAGCCACTTGTATTGAAGTTTCTGTGGATTGCACCCTTTCGGGTTTACAATATTAATATATATAATTGTATACATGTGAACAAGTTGGTGGCTGATTATTCTTGTGTTGTTTTTGAGATCTGTTCTTTTTTTTTCTTGTGTTCAGTCTAAAATATTTTTATTAATGGTCGAAATTTCAATTTTGGTTATTTTTTATTTTGCATTCAAATGATATTCGTAAATTTCGATAAATTGGTATACTTCTTATTTGATTAGAGGAATATGTACATAAATAAGTCTAAGAGCGTATTTCTACGTTATAACCATATAGTAGATGTCAATATCAGTGTTAAATCCATAAAAACACCTATTCGGTTACACGTTAAAAGAAAACTTCTATTTTCAGATTTTTGGCTGAAGATAATATCAATAATCCGGTGACACGATGACACGTAATACGGTCGTGCACAAATATCTTTGAATCCTTAAAAAATATTCTTTTTTCAACACGCGGGCCAATGGGTAACTCCTTCCAACCCAGTGAGTTACATACAGCAATATCCTACGTGGCAACCTAATCCTTCCTTCTTAACTCGTCAACGGTCAAACAACTTTTGTTTTTTACCTTATTTTTTAGGATGCCATTTTTAGGTTGTTTGTTAAAACATTTGTTTTTCCTAGTGTTAGTAATTTTATCGAACGCACTTGCAAACAATTTTTTCGCATAATTTGAAAATTGAAAACTATGGTTTAAAAAAGACCCATCAAAATTACAAGTTCCACGGGATGAAAATGCTTACATAAACCAAGGAGGAAAAATAAATTAGAAAACAAAACTGATTAGTCTGAGATTTCTTGCAGTCTTGCACAATAAGAAAGAAATAATCACAAGGAAAAGGAGACGTGTTACTAAAAAGAAGTAAATTTTAAATTTGGTGACTTAGAAATCTCTCCCAATTCAATAACCAAAGTCCAAAGCTAGTTTCACGTTTATAGAAAAACAAATCCAGAAAGGAAAGTATTTATTTATGTTTATTATACTCCGATTACATTATTATCCAAAAAAAAAAACGGTGGAATCGGATAAAGAGTTAAATAGACTCCGAGAAACTTGTAAATAATACTCAGAAACGGGAAGGAGAGAGAGAGAGAGAGAGAGAGAGAGAGAAAATGGCGTCACAGGGGTGTTACAATGGGATTCACGGTATAAAAAGGGTTCATCCTCTGTTTCACTCTCTCACATATCGGTTCTCCTCATCTTCTCTGCCATTGATATCGAAACCTCAAGCTCGCATTCTCGCATCACAGCTTCGTTTTCTCCCCTCCGCGTCTTCTGGTATTGCATCTTCCTTCCACCAACGTATCATTCTCTGATATTCGTTTTAACATCCCAGATTCTGCGGCTAACAACTTTGTTTTCATTTCTTTTTTCTCCATGCTTTGGATATCGCAGGCATTGTTCATCTACTCGAGGATTTCATTTCTGTTCATATAAGGTACGGTTTCTTTTCGATCTGTTACGATAATAAATCGATAGAAATTGGTTAAACCCAGGATATGTAGAACATATTGATAAATTTGACTTTTCAATTCTGTTCATATTAGTCTTTGTTTTCTTATAACACTCGAAACTTTAAGATTTCAATCTCTATTTTTCCCTTGATATTACAGAGAAGTGAGGCAGCCTCACCGTTCAAGAGGAGTTACAGAGAAAGGGAAGAAGAAGAAGAAGAGATGACGATTAAACCGGCGGTTCGAATCTCCGACGGGAATCTAATCATTAAAAACCGTACGATTCTAACCGGTTTACCAGACAATGTCCTCACAACGTCAGCATCGGTGGCCGGACCGGTCGAGGGAGTTTTCGTCGGAGCTGTATTCGACAAAGAAGAGAGTAACCACATCGTACCGATCGGTACGCTCCATGATTCCCGGTTCATGGCTTGTTTCCGGTTCAAACTCTGGTGGATGGCCCAGAGGATGGGCCAAGTGGGCCGAGATATTCCCTTGGAGACGCAGTTCCTATTGGTCGAGTCAAACGGTGGATCCCACCTAGAGCCTGACGGAGCAGACGGCGACGAGAGCAACCAGAAACTCTACACCGTTTTCTTGCCGTTAATCGAAGGGTCATTCCGTTCGTGTCTCCAAGGAAACGTCAACGATGAGGTGGAGCTCTGTTTGGAGAGCGGAGACGCCGCTACTAAACGGTCGTCGTTTACTCACTCGCTGTATATTCACGCCGGCACAGATCCGTTCCAGACGATAACGGACGCCATCCACACCGTTAAGCTGCATCTGAAGAGTTTCCGTCAACGTCACGAGAAGAAGCTTCCAGGGATCATTGACTACTTCGGGTGGTGCACTTGGGACGCGTTTTACCAGGAGGTTACTCAAGATGGCGTCGAAGCTGGGCTTCAATCTCTCACCGCCGGCGATACGCCGCCGAAATTCGTCATCATCGACGACGGTTGGCAATCCGTGGAGACCGACGATGACCCGATTGAGAACGAAGACGAGAAGCCGGTTTTCCGATTAACCGGGATCAAAGAGAACGCAAAGTTCCAGAAGAAGGAAGATCCAAAACTGGGGATTAAGAACATCGTCGATATCTCCAAGGAGAAGTACGGTCTGAAATACGTTTACGTGTGGCACGCAATTACGGGTTACTGGGGCGGGGTTCGACCCGGGGAGGAATACGGATCCTCGATGAAGTACCCGATGGTGTCAAAGGGTGTGGTGGAGAACGAGCCGACGTGGAAGACGGATGTTATGGCGGTTCAAGGTTTGGGTTTGGTTAACCCAAAGAATGCGTATAGATTCTACAACGAGCTTCATAGTTACTTGGCTGCTGCTGGTGTGGACGGCGTGAAGGTGGATGTGCAGTGTATATTGGAGACTTTGGGTGGTGGATTAGGTGGTCGGGTGGAGTTAACACGACAGTATCATCAAGCTCTTGATTCCTCTGTTGCTAAGAACTTCCCAGACAATGGCTGCATTGCCTGTATGAGCCACAATACGGATGCTCTCTACTGGTGAGTCTTTTAGTTTTGTGTGTTTGATTGAGTAAAATTAGGAAATGGGATGAAAAATTGAAACTTTTTGAAATGGGATTTGATGATGCAGCTCGAAGCAAGCAGCTGTGATTAGAGCGTCAGATGATTTCTACCCGCGTGATCCGGTGTCTCACACCATCCACATAGCCTCGGTTGCATACAACAGTGTGTTCTTGGGAGAGTTTATGCAGCCGGACTGGGACATGTTCCATTCCGTGCACCCTGCTGCAGAGTACCATGCCTCTGCTAGGGCCATCAGTGGTGGACCCATCTACGTTAGGTGAACATCTCTCAAAACTCATTCCAACTACTATCTCCTGGACCATGACTATTGATTGATTGCAACTTACATTGTTTGTTGTATCTTTTCTTGACGAGTAGTGATGCTCCTGGAAAACACAACTTTGATCTTCTAAAGAAGCTTGTGTTGCCTGATGGATCGATCCTTCGTGCTCGATTGCCTGGTCGACCAACCCGTGATTGTTTATTCGCTGATCCTGCCCGCGATGGTGTCAGGTAAGCAAAATCGGCTTTATAAAGAGAGTCTAGATTGTGTGTTTGATTGCTCATTTTCTAATTATGCATATGTTTTGGTTTCACAGCTTGCTAAAGATATGGAACATGAACAAGTACACTGGAGTTCTTGGCGTGTATAACTGCCAAGGAGCAGCTTGGAGTAACACAGAAAGAAAAAACATCTTCCACCAGACGAAAACTGATTGTATCACTGGCTCCATTCGTGGCCGTGATGTGCATTTGATATCCGAGGCCTCCGCTGATTCAACAACATGGAATGGAGACTGTGCTGTTTACTCTCAGAGCAGAGGCGAGCTCAGCGTTATGCCATACAATGTGTCTCTCCCGATCTCATTGAAAATCCGCGAGCACGAGATCTTCACTGTGAGCCCGATCACTCATCTGGCTACGGATGGTGTCTCGTTTGCTCCGCTCGGTCTTGTAAACATGTACAATTCGGGAGGAGCTATCGAAGGACTTAGATATGATGCGGAGGAGATGAGAGTGGTGATGGAAGTGAAAGGATGCGGTAAATTTGGAGCTTATTCATCGGTGAAGCCTAAGAGATGCGTTGTTGAGTCGAATGAGATCGCATTCGAGTACGATGCCTCCTCTGGTTTGGTCACTTTTGAATTAGACAAGATGCCTTCAGAGGCCAAACGATTACATCTGATCCAAGTTGAGTTATGAAAATCTTAGCTTGTATGAGTGATTCAAACAATTCATGGAACCAAACTGTTTAAGGTACATGTAAACTGTTGGTTATTATTGTTGTAGCTACTTTCGATGTTATACTTTCACGTTTTTGTTGGATACCAATAAAAATTCTTAAAAAACAGAGTATGCATCACAACTAATTCTATCTTAACGGAGTTGAGTTATGAAAATCTTAGCTTGTAAGAGTAAATTTAAACAATCATTAAACCAAAACAGTCTCGAAACTGTTTGAAGGTAATATTACATGTAAACAGAGTATGTAGAATCACAAAGGCAACCTCATGTTTAGCCTTCTCAACCAAACGGAGTGAAGAAGCATTCGAAGCATATCAAAGGGTTTAGAGGGTCTATTGAGCACGAAATGTCTCTGGACCTGCAAAACCCTTCGCCGCAACACCAAGTAGCGTCTCCATGACACGCTCTTTAGTATGGTTTTGATCTCCGGGATCTTCTCAGAGGGAACATGAATGGTGAACTTACTCCAATCAAGAACGTCTGAGAAGGGCAAGGCGTAGTGATCGGAGATGATGACAGGGACGCAGCCTAAGTTAATGGCTGCAACGACTCGAGGGCTAGCCACTTCGTAGCCACTAGGACAGAGACAGAACCTCGCCTTGGACATGAGCTTGAAGTAGTCTTTGTTGTTGGCTAAGTAGCCGTGGACTTGGACGTCCTCGTCCTTGTCTTTCCAGTGCTGCAGTAGGATCTTGCGTATACTGCCGTGTGAGCCGCCTGCGAAGAAAGCTAGGATGGGTCGGTCTTGGCCGGAAGAGCGGGATATCTGAGGTGGGCTCAGGCGGCCTCCAAGGATGTTGATCTCCGGGATTGAGACATCTCTTTGGGGCATGAAACCTTCCGATGTGTTGGCGTTGCAGAGTACTCTTATCATGGTTTTCAACTTCTCCGGGTTCGATCCCGAGACGTCGGGTGCCTGCAAGATATGTTCCAAAGTTCAGAACAATTACTCAATGGATGGTATATACATTATAACAATAGAGAGAATGAAAGAAAACGAACCCAATCATGGCAAGAAACGAAGAAATGGTCGGCTCCAAGACTTCGATTCCAGTAAGGATACTTGTCAGCGACGACATTGACGTAGTCAAGAAACACTCTGTGAAGTTGATCTCTCGAGTAGGTCACGAGCGGTCTGTAGAGATAATGAACGACGTTGGCAATGCTGACGGGGAGGAGGAAGGCGTGAGCCTCGTCCGGGTGGCTAGCCGCGAATGGGATCAGCCCTGACTCCATCTCGTCCATGAATTGGCCTTCGATGCTGTATATGTTTTTCATTGGACCCGTGTGTACTAACGGCGCCTCGCCTTCTCTGTACACCCACACTTTGAATCTCTTCTCCATCTCAATTTGGCTTCTGCTCAATTTCACAAGAAAAAAGGTTGTTTACCTTTTCAATGATAATAAATGAATATACCAAGTTTTTTTTAAATAAAAAAAGTCAATAAAAAGGTATAACTAAGATGGGATCATGGGTGATGTGACTACAGTTACCAAAGCTGGCTTTAAGTGGGCGCTACGTTTCTTCACCCGCAGAACATTGTGCATTGTATTTCATTGATACGTGTACGTGTATTTTTAAAACTAATCCCAATATATAATAAATACTAGAGTAATCGAAGTTAACTTAATTCTCTTTTAATAGTGAAAGATGGCTACTTTAGCAACGTGCAAAGAAATCTGATTTAAAAAGTCGATAAGAAAAGTGTTATCAATTCGAATATAACAGAGAGAGAGATGTGACTAAACAGCGTTAAGTGTGGGCTACGTTTCTTTTACCCGCGGAAAACTGCGCGTTACTATATCACATACACGTTCACTACATGTTCAACTAAAATGTCGGAAAAATAATAATTTTAAACAGTAAAAAATTAAACTAACTAGTAGTATTAGTATGATGAATACTAAGATAAATCAGTCTCGAGTTTAACGACCCCAAATCCCAATCACTCATTAAAATGTTACAACCCCAAATCCCAATCGCTTCGTTTCCCATAGCAAACAATAAACAAAAAAAAAAATCGATTTATTATATCTTTTGAAATCCGAATGAGAATTAATTAAGGAGATAATAGTGCGTCACTAATTAAATGAAAATGACACTCCTCTTGTATAAAAGTGAAATAAACAGATATCTAACTTAATTAAGAATTCACCTCTTTTAGTCCTAAGATTTCAAAATGATCTCGAAATTATATGAAAAGAGTAAAACGACAATTATCTAAAACTGAAACTGATAAAGTAACAAAATGTAATAATTTTTATCTTAAATTTAAGACCCATTGGTTCTTTTCGTAGAAAAACTCCACTTGTAAGCGTTCTTCTGTCAATAGATGATATAGTTATGTACGTAGTTATCATATTATTTGGTTTTATAATATTGGTCAAACCTTATTAATTGTTTCCTAATGGAGTATTAAACTAAAATAATTGGTAGAAAAATGAATCAAAAGTAAAAAAAAATGAGAGAAAGAAGAAAGGAGAAACGGAGAAAACATACCGATGAAATGCATATGCATTCCTGTAAACGGCTCCACGAGGAACAAAAGTTTGTTTATTCTCCGATGCATACTTCTTCGACCTCGCGGCTTCACGTATGGCCGCTCTTGATTTCGCTAAACCTTCCTCTAATCTCTTCGCTAAATCTTCCTCTAATCTCTTCCTCTTCTTTTCTTTCCGATAACAACATATTAATTACATAATTTTAAAACAATTTCATAGCATAGTTGAATAAAATCATTTGGACTAATAGAAAAAACTTATAAGATACCTCTAAAGCACTCGAAATCAACGTGGAGTTTGATGAAGGAATGCTAAACTCCATGGATAGGGACGGTGAAGGAGAGGTTGCGAGAGATGTAGCATCGACGAAAGAGGAGAGAGTGTCTGGAGAAAAATAATGTTGATGAAAGAGGAGAAGGACAAAAATGAGAAGAAGAGCTTGACTTAGAGAGAATTCCATAAGTTTGATTGTTTACTAATTTCTTAGGAATTAGGCCAAGAGGATGATCAGTGATACATATGAGGCATATCTATATTAATATTTTTTTAATTAATAATTTAGAAATTATTAAATTACAGAATCCAAGTAACTTAAAAGGAGTCATAAATAAAACCATTTAAGGTAAACAATAAGGCAAGAAATGGAAAATAATCCTACTAGGGAAGGTAACCGAAACAGCTAATAGAGAGTATTCAAAGGCTAACAAAAATTCATTTTGTATTTATTGCCTTTTGATAATGCTTACCCAAACCGAAGTTGATATTTTCACATCGTCCCGCGTTTGGCATTGTCTATCGTTAACAGCTATCGTGGCCCTAAATTTTAATGTGTTTGTAGCATCATGCTCTTAGTTTTGGGTCAAATTTTGGACCCGGTTAGAAGAAAGAAACAATCGCAAAATTGATGTATCCATTATCAAACCGGTTCTCCCCATATTGCTTTGAGGCTGGATTTTCGAATTTGGGTTGGTTAAGCATCGGTTTTAAATCCACATAAATTTTACGCTAAGATTTAAATTACAAACATGCTAGATTAACGCTATTAAAACATGATTCTATTAAATACATATCATTCACAACAATATTAAACATTGAATGATAAAAAAATGAAAATAACACGCTATTTTTTAATTCATTCCTTACGTTTTGAATTTATAACTAATTTTGAGAAAAATCTAGTCATCTAATAGATGCTAGCTTTTTAACATTTTGAGTTTATTCAGTTTTTATTTTACTCATTTACTATTCGATTATTCCGCTATTCAACTATTAAATTGCATACCAGTCAAACCCAAAATCACTATTCAATGGCAAATATATGATGTACAATTAGCATCTCATACATAAATAGACTTCTGAAACTCATATTCAATAAAATAGCACAAGTCGAATTACAATTCAATTTAACAACAAATGGGTTATTACAATTTTTTTTTTGTTTTCACGTGATACAATCAAGCTAATATTTTTTTTTAATCTTCAAAAGAATTACAAATAGATATAGTTTTAACAACCAACATGGTCACGCCAATCCAAGAACAAGAGAGCAGCTGCATAGTGAGACAAAGCACCCAACACAACGAACACATGGAAGATCTGATGACTATGTCCCACGCGATCAAACCATCCCGGTTTAAGCCTCTCAGGCACTCTCCCTACATAGAACCCTGTCCCAACAAGATAGAACACTGCCATAGCCAGCTCGTACACGAGCGTCACGTTCCTCTGAGGGTTTCCCCAGTTGACCACAAGCGCGTGGACTGCTGGCACGATCCCGAAGAGTCCCATGGAGGCGAAGAGCAAAGCGCGAAAAGCTCGGTACTTAGGAGAGGAAAGTGATGGAGTGAAGAGCGTGATGATGGTGAAGATTCCCATAGAGGTGATGCCTGCGAGGTAGATGAAGTACCAACGAGGAGTGCATTGGAAGATGTAGTAGATTGGTGGGAAGAAGGAAGTGATGATCATGGCGGTGATGCCTGCATAGTCTATGCGGAGGAGGAAGACGTTAAGATCTTTGGAGTGGCAACAAAAGAGATGGCAAATGCTGCTTGCGAGTAGGCAAAACATCGAGCCTCCTAAGAAGACGAAGAATGGCCATCTTGTTACATTCCCTGGACTCTTTGCATCCTATACAATCATCAACATTGATACCATCATAAATTTTTATGATTAACATTTTTATTTAGTCTTTTGAAACAAAAATTGGAACGGTAACACACATAGGAAATTCATAAGTTTTTCTCTTTGATTTCTACTATCTTCCGATGAGTTTTAATATTGAGTTGATTTCTGATATCTCTAAGAACTACATTTGGTTGACTTGCTTAAAATATAAAGAAAACACTGAATATATATCAGTATAATATAAAATAATAATTTATATCCGTGACAATTTCAAAGATACGTTATTTGATCGTTCACGTTTTGGATTGACGTCGGTATTTGGTATCTCGAGAGATCACAACTAACATTTTATATTCATAATCATCATAACAAAAACCCATGAATAGCAGTGAAAAAATAATTAGAAATTACGATACGTTAAATGTTAATCAAGTGTTCATGAAACCCAATTAGGTACATCTATTTGTACTAGATACATCCACTTGACCAAATTGAAATTAATTTAGTGGTTGCATGTGGACCTCAAGAGATTAAATTGGGATGAATTCATCAAAAAGGTAATTTAGTTAAAACTTAAAGGAGACTTACCACGGGGAAGAATTTATCGTGATGCATAATGTTGGCGACGGTGAGTCCCACAAACAAGATGAAACCAAGTAAATGTCTGTCCAAGACAAAAATGATTAATTTCATCAGAAATCAAATTACAACAACCAAAAGAATATAAAATTGGAATTAAAATAAGAAAAATACGAACGTCCAAACGTTGAGGGACTCATTGTGGAAACTGAAGACGCTGAAGAAAGCATCTCTAATGGACCAATCCGCTCTGTAATAATTCAGTATAAATTCGTTATCCCTCATGTAATCCGGAAGCTCACTAAACGACATTAGTTCACGTCGTTTAGTTGTCTTCTGCGATTTCTTCTTTTTCCTTTTCTTCGTACCGCTGCTTTCTTCTCCATCGTGATGATCATCTCCGGGAACAATCTTGCTATTGCACTTGCTGTTCCCGCACGACACCGTTTCTCCTTCGTCTTTCTCACCATCTTTGTCCATATGATATGAGCTCTAATGCCGACTGTTTGAGACAAGAACACTTGATTTCTTATATAAAGATCAATATGGAAAAGAAAGAAAAGAGAAGAAGGTGAGAGAAGATCTGAGATGAGAGGAAACTATATAATGAAAAAGATTATTATAGAAGTTATATTAAAATGTGAATTTAATTTCAGTAGTGGGGGGAGAAAGAGAGAGAAGCAAGGAAGATGGGAAAGGCAAGGAGACAGCTGCAACATTTAAAGACGAAACTTTAGTATGCAGGTAGAAGTTGGTGTCGTGTTTTCATCTTTTAGTTGTTAGTTAGGTTATCAATAAATTCTTCTTCTTCTTTTTTTTTTTCTCTCTTATTATAGTATTTTCTTTCTCCTTTTCGCATTTTGTTTATTTTGAACAAGAAAAGTGATTTTTGTTTTACAATACTTTTCGAGATACGCGAAATCTTTTGAGTACGACGCATAGTAAATTTAGGCGATTTCAAGACCGACCAACTCAGATTTTACTACCGGCTTGTGCCTCTTATAACATGAATAATGCCTTGTACCCACCGGATCGTTTGAGGTTTTGAAAGAAAGAAATAAGATATATTCATTCAGAAAATAGTAATCCTTTTAGCTGCCTTTATTCAACAATCAATTCACTGTGAATTGAGATTTCTTAAAGTTTACCATCTACTTGACTTTAAATATTCTTGTATCTTATCGGAAAAAAATATATATATTCTTGTATCTTAGAACATGTGCAACTTTCCTTTGGAATTTTGTGAAATAACATCAGAAATATAATTTTTGGTTTTATAAAAAAAAAATAGCAGAAGATATTAGGATAACAATGTACTTTTTGTCGTCAAGTAAATGTACTTAAGAGTTATAAATCGAGTGAAGGTATTAAGTGGGCAAGCTCTTTTAATCACGTAGTAGTTGATAGACCAGACAACAAGTACTAATGATTTGGGAAACATACATTCAGCATTTCACATCTTGTTTTTTTTCATAATACATGTTCTAATGAAAAAAGAAGAAGAGTACATGGCAGTTGTTGCAAAACGATCTACATTTTCTATTGAACACTGTTGAAAAATTCGAGATATTAGTGTCATTTTTCAATTAGTTGCCACTAGAACGGATTACTTTTTAACTGCCTCTAATTAGTTAGATGGCAAAATTTTAGACAGTGAGTAAAAATCATTATAATCATTTTTTTTTTATTGGAAAACAACTAAAACGTTGTTAATAACAGACGAAAAAAACATCATCACAAGGTTTTTTAAACTTATTGTAACATGTAATTTGTTTATATTGCGTGCTATGTATATATGCTGTTTATGTAGCTTTCAATATAACGGTGTGACATACCTTTTCTTTTGATAAAATTCAAAAGTGACATGAATTTAATAATATCACTGAATCCAATAGCGTACTATTTAATAAAGTGACAAGGTTTTACATAGGATCAAATATGTCTTGGTGTGGTTAATAAGTGAAAATATGTCTTGATAAAATTCACCTTAGGTTTGAAATTACTATGTAGCTGAGACAATAAGTGTTTTGGCTAATCATGTCTGATTATCTAGAAAGAAAGTAGATAATGACCACGATTGTTGCTTATGGTCTTTTTTATGATCTGCGTTTGCTTAGCCTTTTGGGGAAAACATTAACAAGGAACCGCTAATCGGCCATCCAAGTTTCCTAGAAGAGTTCACACTCCTGAAACCCCCCAACAAAACCAAATCAGGTACGCAATCTCTACGTGTCTAAAAATTTATTGGAAAATAGATAATAATAGTATAAAATACTAATATATAGCTTGTCTTCGTTAAATACTATATCGTTGAGAAGAAAATGAAATTAGCTTTGAAAGACTCTCTTAGTTCAACATCTTTAGTACGCTTTAATTTAGGATAGCCTGCCATGTGATTGCCTAATTCTATAATCAAAAATAAAAGATATATATATATATATATATATATATATATTTCTGTTAAATGAAAATACCGGAATCTCTCTCCTTTTCATTTTATTATTACAATACTTTGCATAAATTAAGTAGATCCGGTGGGTTGTCAAAAAGACAACCATACGAAGAGTTAGGTATTTCCGGCAGCTTATGTACGACGAAGTAATAAAGAAACCAAACAAA